TATATATATATATATATATTTATCATACATACAGTATACACTATGATTCAAGACAAAAGGTTTACCACTTCATATTCACATCTGCCAGGGTAGAGTAGAGTCGACAGGTACATGGCAGCAGTGACGCAGCCCAACGACCACATATCTACAGCCTCGGTGAAGGGGAGACCCAAGATGATCTCTGGAGATCTGGGAGGAGGGAAAAAAAACATAGCATCACTAATGAGAACTTCCTGCAGCATGTCTATATGGATTACTTTATAAACTGTTTATACGGTATGTTTAGCGCCCGCTCACCTGTACGCACAGGACTGGATGCATGAGCCCACTTTGGCAGACGACACCTCAAAGGCGAGGCCGAAGTCGATGATTTTCACCCTGTAGGGCTCCTTCAGCTGATCCACAAGCATTACATTTTCCAACTTGAGGTCTGCGTGTACGATCCCAATAGTCTTTAGGTGACATAAAGCACTGGCCAGCTAAAATTTCATGGAGTAACATCAGAAAAATCGCATTATTGTACTTTAGTTTATATCAGTGTTTTTCAACCATGGGGTAACATGATACAGATTATTTTTAAAATTATAGTTAAAACACCGCACATCTTAAAAACTGCACTGTTACACTTTCAGGAGCATAAACTGAGTTCAAATAAAAGGCAGACAGAAATGTATGTTGTTAAAATGACTTCACAAGCCAAAAAAGATTGGGAACTACCACTTTGTACTATATTCTAAGCCATTGTTTCCCAAAGACTGGGTCACAACCCTCAGGTGGGTCGCAAGGAATTTTTTTGGGTCGTCTTGCATTATGTTTTCCAGGTGTTTACGAATAATGTCTATTGACTTGGGTCTAGAAGGTCTGTGACTTTTAAAATATGGGTCCCCAGAAAACAAGTTTTGGAAACACTGCTTTAAGCTGTCAATCAAACCGGAGAACCGTTGAATACCTACTTGCTGGACAATGGGTCTTATTTCCTTCAGATAGAGATGATGGGTTTGCCTTCCCCAAATATAATCGAACAGACTTTTATCCAGATGCTCAAACTCCAGGTAAATATTTCCTTTGTCGATGAAAAAACTGTGCCATTGTACCAGGCTGCATTCCTCCGGGTCGAGGGATTTAATTTTTCTCAGCGCCTCCACCTGAGTACACAGACACAAATAAAGTCATGTGTAGTTCACAGTGCTTATGTGTACTCATTGTAATGAGCACAGTTTACTCACTTCATAACTGACACATGGCTCCAATTTCATAATTTTTATGGCCACAGTCTTTTGGTCGTCCATTCGTGTGCACTTGACAACTTTGCCGTAAGTGCCGCGACCTAGAAATGACTCCACCTGGTAGACCGAGACCCCTGAGGTAATGTAGCCCCCAAGGACAAATGGGTCGTCCTGGCCCGGCTGAGTAGAGGACATCTTTAATTGAATGCACTGCAAGAAGACATGTTTCTTGTTTCTGGTGTAACAGGAAAATCAATAAAGGATGCAGACTCAATATTGAATATGAACCGAGGACCAGGAGGGGTCCTCCACGCTGCAATTTAACATAGTAATGTGCGTGTGTCATAGTGTGTCAGTGTTATATTGGTACCTGTTACAGTGGCCACAGTCATTCTCCTGGTGGTGGTGTTGTGAGAACAGTCGTCGTCGTCGTCGTCTTCTTTGGTGTTCCGTCACTGCTTCCCTTCCCTCTGAGGCTGCCTGTCCCATCCTCTAACTTTATCATTTATTCTTCTTGTTACTCTGTTTCATAATGAAGAAACAAAACAACAGCAACCAGCCGCGCTGCTCTATGGATGGTTAGTAACGGCAATGAATCCTTTAAGTCAAAGCAAATGTTCGTGTTGTTTCATTTCAAAGGATCAAAGGCGTACTCTAAGTTCTTGTTCTTGTATTCTTGTATTAAAGCTAGAATAAAAAAAAAAGAAAAGAGAAAATTCAGTCTATATATTTTTTTTCTTTCTCTTTTTTTGTTTGTGTCATTGACAGTTTGTATCCAACTGTAAACCACAAAGATCTCATAAGATCTCTTCAATCACAGGTGGAGTCCTCCTCAGTTTTTTTCTATAAACTTCTAAGGAAATATTATGAAAATTACTGTATTTGCATTATGTCATTAGTTTATGTCTCATTCTGAATTTACTGTGCATATATACTGTATAAACATATTTGAATATCATTTTAAAAGTAACTCAAAAAATGTCTCAGTATTTTTTTTTTTAACAATTACTAGACATTTCCGGTGACCCCAGTTGAATGACGACATAAATATAATTGTGTAGAGAGAAAAGAAAGATAAACAATGTGTAAGAGGAGAAACTTCGAGCGGGGAAGAAACAATTAATTTAAACCCGTTTCGACGCGGTGCATCTCTTCCTCACGATCCCTGGCTATCATTATCTCATTACGCCACAGGGAGACGACAGTTTGCACTTCATTATTGTCCGATTGTTATGAGCGAAGACAGTAATTGGAGAGTTGCTGTTGACTGATATCATGCATTTTTCCATAATTTAAAGACTTCCTTTCGTCAGCATTAATTATACATTGCGTTGACCTTTTTCATCGCATGGGATTTCTTATATTTATTTATGATTTTTTTGGACATCAGTGTTACTGAGTGTTACTGAGTTAGCTTTACAGTGGTGCATTGGCGTACAGTAAGCCACCCTCCTGCTGAGCAAATATATATACAGTATATATATTTCATCAATCCCTACATCCAGGGTCCAGTGTCTCCTGGGAAAGCAGAGGGCTAATATTATCCAGGGCCCAGGCCAATATACAGGCGGGATTTGTGAGGGTTAAACCCCTCGTGCTTGAATGTCTCCTCACATACGCCAGGTTGACACCGTCGAAAACAAGAAGGTGGTGAGGAATTGAAGAGTGATCCAAAACAGACGCCCTCTCTGACCGTGTCACAGGAAGTCAAGCTCCAGCCTCTCCACTGTTTGTAAGTGGCCTTCAACTGCCATAGTACAGTAGGGGCAGCAATGTATTTTCCCTATAATAACTATTGTATATTTGCTTGACATATGTTTAATATGTGCAGAAACAGCTTTTCTGTCCTTTGTACTATTAATGTGTAACAGAAAAGCAAAATTACCACAATAGAAAAATTTACAGTGAGACCCACACAGGCTGCCAGCGGAGGCGTCATTAGGTATGTATTTCCTCTGGGGCTCAAACGCAGCACCTTCTACATGTAAAGCAGTTGCGATAACCACCAGACTATGAACGTGATCTGTATTTTGTATAATTATTTAAAACAAGCAAAACAAATGCTGTGAACTAAACAAAGGACACATGGGAAGTTAATGGTACTGCAATTTGAAATTATGCACAGTATCTCAAATGTCAAAGCAGATGAAGTAGCGGACGATCAGTTACTTGGTAAGTAAGGACGGGTTCATGCAGGTTGACTGAGCTCCTGTAATTGGATGTACTGCTATCTCAATTGGCTCTGTTCAAACAGACTGTGTTACTACTTTCTTTTGAAGTATTCTTTGAGTGATACCGCACCGCAGGAAGGAGTACATTATTTTTTTGTATCGTAGAGCAAAGGGAAATAACAAGGCTTTATCCTAAAACACAAGGAGGAAAAAGAATTGACAGAGGTTCAACATGATCGGCATGAGGCAAAGTCTCTGCACACAGAGGTGAAAGAATAGAAACCTGCAAGGAACACGGCTGAAGAAACCTCTGAAACAATGTTTGGACAAAAGTTCAAACAAAGGTTTCTGTAGAAGGTTGAAGACTTTCCTTTTTTAAAACAAACACACCTGGAACGTTTAAGTATTCCAGGAAACAGGACAACACCAGCACCGTTACCAAACCAGGTCAGTGAATTTAGCCGTCGTTCTCTGGGGTAGGTTAGTGAAGACCTGAAGACATATTAAGACGAATCAGGAGATAGGACACCTGCTGACATGTCTCATTAAAAAGAATGGAGAAAATAATGTTATGACTTTTTTATAATTAATAATTAAATGTTTGTAAATGGAACCCAATAAACAGAGTAGGAAAGATGAGATTGTACCAATATAAGAGTGTGATGTTTGGCTCTGCTGAAATTACATTGGTCTTCTGATTAAACACCAGTGGCCGTGACTCACCCCCCTCCACCGTGGCCTAATTAGAGACATACGTTAACACTTACGCTCTCGCCTGTGGACATCGAAGGAAACGGGTCACTTAATCCTAATCCTGTGGGTGTTTTTTTTCCCAGTAATTGGAGTAAACCTAACCACAGACAGAGAGAACATTTTACAACAGGTTTTCAAAATATTTCAATATCATTTAGAGATTCAAACGTGTCCATATTTGGCAATCACTCCCACATGACAACAGGTAGTTTTTATATTTTATTCCAAAATCTTCAAAATAAGTTTCAAGTTCAAGAAAGTAGAATAAGTTTAGACACAATGCAAAGCATCATATACAGACGGATAAAATACATTTTATATATTGCAGACAAGCCATGGTGGGTCTTACATATGTACAGTATGTATGTAAACTTTTATGTACACATTTTTTTTACACGTATAAAAAAACCTTGATTCTATTTTTCTTTGTATATATTTATATATATATATTTATATTTATATATTTTTCATATACTCCCCACTAGCATTTGTACTACAATAATGAAAAAAGAAAAAAACATTTACATATATGTCAATCAATTTTTTCTTTTATATTACAAATGTATTTTCATAAAAATATATCTCTGTACAAAAAAAGGATTTTTTTTTTTGAATCAGTAACATATTCTCTCTTCTTAGAGACACTTTCCTACGTAGTTTCTCTTTCGTGTTTACACACAGTCTGTGTACGCGTGTCATTTTTTTCGTACAGAAATCCCTTTTGGTGAAGAGAACAACACTTAATGTTTGTCAAGGCCTTTTAGGACCACGTGGATTTTCGTATTGGTGTTTCGCCGTGCCTTTAGTCACGGGCAGATTTTAGAGTGAAAATCTACTGGAGCGGCATTAGAAGAAAGTATGAAAAGGGAAAAAAATATCGGAGCGTTTTAAATCCTCTTTGCCACGACAAACACACAGGAATGTATCGTCGTCGGTAGGAAAAAAAAAACACTTTCTCTGCAAATATATTTTCGCTTGATTATTTCAGATAACTCAGACCTTTTCTAAATGGAGGGATGACAAATATTGGCAATGCTTTTTTTCCATTACTGCGCACAAACCAAGGAGGAGTTGCCAGATGACAATGATATCAAACACAGCAAAGACTAATTCGAACGCAGTCAGTGGAATGAGGATACATTCAGGAATTTTCCAGGAATAAATTCGGGCACCAACTCGAAGCGATTCAGTCCATTTATAGGAAAAGATTTCTTTATAGTTAAAAGAAAAAAATTCTCAAATGCTAAATCAAAGTCAAATAGACACGCACTCACACACCAGGAAGTATGGCCTGGAGCGACAAACATAAAAGAAGATTATAAATGAGAGTGAATGGGAAATATATATTCATACTGCACAACTGATGATTTTTTTGTGTTTCTTCTGTTTTAAGTGAAAAGTCAATGAAACCACAGTGTGTTATAATAGAAGTGACTGTGAAGAGAGAAGTTAGCTGTGTCTGAAAATAAAAATTAACAGAATATAAACAAAAAACCAAGGAAAAAAACTCTAATTTAGTTTCTTTTCTGATCTAGATTTTATTTTATTTACACATTTGTCCAATTTACAAGTTCAAAATCTCTATTTTAATAAAATCTCTTTCAGTAAAAGTGATAAAAATAAGTTGTTTTTTTTTAGCTATTTCTCCAATGAAGTGAAAAACTCACAATTATGAGTATCGTATTCTTAATACAAATGAATCAAAACAGGCCTCATTTGCTGTACAGGTAATCCAAATTTTGTAATTCTGCCTCGTCTAATTTATTCAAATATATAGATTTTCTTTGGTTGAACACACAAACAAAGCACAAGGAATGAGGGCGAGCAGAGAAATCCAAAACCTTAATACCAAAATATTGAACTAATGAGCTCATTCCTCATCTTGGGAGGGTAAAAAGTGTGAAGAGGCAATAACAGATGACTGGTCTGGCCCGATCCTAACAAGCTCATTAACTTACGTCAGCTGTAGACTGGTGTTGGAAACCTAAACAATGACTGTCCTTAGCTCCAGAGTTTGGCTCCCAAATCTCTAAATAGAATTGATGATGTTTGGATTTGTTGAACCCAGCAGCTCGTGCTGATTCATTGTATCATGGGGTTGTACCAAGGCACTATAATGAATCTAAAGTGCTTTTGGGAGAGGGGAGGAGGTACAACAACATGATTTAAACTTCCCTTCCATATAGTGAATGGGACCCCGTACTATTTCACCACGCAGTCACTGTTTTTTTAAACCCAAAAAAGTCGCTATGAAAGGAGCCGTTGGTCGGTGGAGAAACAGGAAACAAGTGGAGTGGCATCCAACTTTCCGCACAGTCTTAAACAGTGAGTGCAAATTCAATATCATACACAGTAAAACAATGCAATGGGCAAGTGACACTATGAGAAAGGGAGTGCAAATGCCTTCAAGACAAAAAGAAAAAATGAGCACAGCGGCTCATTTTCTCTGTAAAAACCTCCAGGTTAATTCAATCCATTCCTTTTCCATCAATTTACGGCCAGAGCAGGCGCAGGGCAATATTCTATCTGTAGTGGTGAGATAAGCGGGAGCTTTAAAAGTAATAAAATTGTAAAAGCAATTACCAAACCATAGCGGAACTGATTGAAGGAACAATAGTGTGATTTGTTTCATTTGTTGAATTTGGGACTCGTACCGGAGGTGACTGGAAAGGCATAATTAAAAAAACAAAAAAAAAAAAAAACAGGTGGGATGGAGCTGGGATTTCGGACAGGAACTACTGCTTCACTTCACTACATCTGCCCACTGACATATACTGTAGAGAAACACGCTGCTTTTTGTGACATCACACATTTTCTGTAACCCCAGAGACATTTCATTTGTTGAATTCCAGGGGTCTACACGTGGGGCCGCGACCCCATGGTTGAAAAACACTGGTTCATTTGCAAGAGGATTTTAATTTTATTTTTAGTTTGGATACAATAATGAGCCAAGGCCAATGTATTTTTAATGTGTGATTTTTTTGGGGGGGTTCAAATTTGTGCACTATTTACCCCTGTCAGCCTCCACGGGCTGAGTACAGAACAGCCAAGTGGTAAATAGCTGGGTGCAGTGTGTGTGAAATTCTGAAAGTCTGTCACACTTTATACACACAGAGTTGTCACTCAGCACCAAATGCGGAGTGCTGCTGTTGTCGGTAATATTTTAATCCCGTGTCACACTTTCCAAACGTTAATGTCTTTATATTGCTCCAAATTCTCCACAGTTTGGAGAAGTGCTAACAATGCGGGAATGAGCACTTCATTTCTCCTATCACGTTCATCATTTCTAGTTAAATTCGTGCATAATCAGCACGGCGGCGACCTCCCCGCTGTCACGGTGGCAAAGATGCATTATTTTCATGATTAGCAGAAAACAAAAAAAAAAAAACAACGCCACCATCCACTCAGAGTGATGGAGCTGTCAGAAATAAATGAGAGGAAAAGACTTGAAAGTAATTTAGGGGGAAGTCAGAGATTTGTTCCTTCTTCACACTTAAATGTCTTTAAAGTTGTTTGAACATGACTGCCTTTTTTTTAACGTCTGCATCTCCGTGTTTGGAGAGCTTGTTTCTGCGTTTTAATTATACAGACACGCAGCGTGTGTCTACAGCTGGGAGGAAAACATGGCAGAGTGGATACAGGAATGAAAGTTATGACGTTGGTGAAGAAGAATCAGAGCAAGTTCTGTCTCTGTTGTCTGAGCTACAACAGACTTTTGGACCAAATATTGGTGTTATGGATTTATTCTATGCCTTTGGAGCAAATCTGACTTCACCAATTTACATCAGACTGATGTTTTTTTAAAGGTTTCAGTCCCATTTTCCCTTCAGTCTCTGACAGACAGAAAAATGTTAAGTGATGTCAAACAGAAGACAACGAGGGATATTGCGCGGTGAAGCAGAACCCAGGCACCGATCACCATCATAAACCTAGGGCTCCTGGTACGGGTGTCAAAGAGACATCAATCAAAATTCCTAAACTTAAAAATTTGAATGACGTGATTAACACGTAGAAAAATGTTCCAACATGGATCTTTGGAGCAAATGTGGAGATATTTTCAGAAAAGTCGCCAACGAAAGTACGTGCATGAACACGCACATTTGTTCTCCCTTAAGCACGTTTACAAGTAAATTCACGAAAAACATATTTTCACTTAAGTGCTTTTTATCAGCAGCCTTTTCCATTTTTCAACCCCTGCTCAGGATGGAGCTGCCTCGGCGAACAGAACCGCATCCCTGCTTTCAAGAACAAAAATAGAAAGAGACTGGAGAAGTAATGACAGAATGTGCGTCTTCAGAATCGACTAAATTTTTCATCTCTTCAGAAACCTTTCAAGAATCTCAGGAGCATCCAGTTAGGAATAAAAGCAGGGTTCCCTGGTTCTCAAAGCAGAATCCCCAAGTACAGAAAGCAAGCAGAAAAAAAAAAAAGGCAAATGGAAAACTGAGAACCATGATTGGGAACAGTCCAGACTGTCTCTGTCTGACTCACACAGGCCAACGTGGGGCAAACTCCTGCCTGTCAGTTTACTTGCACAGAGATCTCTGTTAGTGACGGTCAATTTATTGACTTGAAGTTGACCGCTGAATTCCTTTTGGGATTTCGACGGAGGACCGCAGACGGAGAAAAGTCATCACAGCTTCTTCCAGCAGTGTTCCATTCCATTTGACCGCAATTCCAGGCAGGGGTGTTTCCTTTTTAAAATTGGAAGATGATTCAGAAACCATGTCAAATTTACCAGCAACGTATGTTGCTCTAAGCATCGGTAACAGTTGCCTCCGCATGGTTTCTTTTTTTTTTTTTTCTTCACGTGCCTGTAAGCGAGTCTCGTCGTCGCAGATGTTTTGAACTTTAAAATATCAGGAAAAGTTGGTGGCCCTCTGCTCAAGGAACTGGAAGTGTCCTCAACTGACAGGTAGGCGGACGTGGACGTGTTTGAGCCTCCTTAAAAATCAATCGAGGATGAATTAAAAAATTCTAAAAAAAAGAATGCCGGGATAAGGATGTCGGGGATGAACAAGGAAAAGCAAATGGAGGAGAAAAGTAGAATGAAAAAGGATGATCAATATGAAGACAAAGACAAAGAGAAAAAGAGTTAAAACAGTGTTTTTGCAGAAAGAAATATATATATTAGGTATATTTTTCTCCTTTTGGCTGCATCAAGTCTGAGTTATTGACATCAGATGCATGGATGAGATTTTTCTTTGCTGCTAAGGACAGGTGAAGGTCGCACATAATGATTTTACTCGAAACTACTCCAATATGCATCACATTAGATCAGTTTTGATGCCTGGAGAGCGCAGTGAGGGGAAAGGAGGCCGCGGTTTCATAACCTCGGCTACAGGTCTATAAAGTTTTCTGAATTTACCTGTGAAGGAAGCGGTTGCTATACAGCTGTGCACACTGTGCTGACGGTGAACTCTGTCTCGCTGGCCATGATGTCCGTGGGCTGAATGTTGCGGTCGTACATGGGGTTCTCGAACGTAGCTCGGCCGTTGGTGTTCTCGTGGCCCACGAAGCCGTTGAACGGGACTTTGGGTCTTCTTCTGGAGGAAAATGAGTTGGCGGTAAGTTAGCGTTACAAGATTTAAGCTCAGGGTGTGAACTAAGATAAATTATATTTAAAATGCCTTTAGACTTTACTACACCTCGTGGTGTTCTTTGAGAACTGCAACAAATTTCTGTAATTCTTTCTAAGATAGAGATTAGCAGCCTTGCTACAAGAAAATCTCTTGGCACGTAAATAGGATGATGGGCGTTAAAAGCTGAACTGCTAAATAAATTTTAAAAAAAGCAATGTAAGGGCCATGCCTGTGTTTGTAGAGGTACAAAGCGAAGCCTGCAATGATCATGGCTATAAAAGGCACGAGGATGGCTGCTGCCACGGAACTGCTGTTGGAGGCAAAGTTGTAGTCTGGGTTCTTTACTCTGGGATCCAAACTCTCTGTAAAGAACAGTAAGAGAGAGAACACAGGACACAGTTGTGTCAGAAGCAGGTCCTGAAATCACAGCGTATTTAGATCAGAGCGTATTGAAGTCACAACAGACTAAAAAATACAAAATAAAAATGTTAACAGAAATAAAGGGAATTGCACTGCGTCTGATACACATTCACATTTCAACCCACACTAATCTGAGTCCTTTTCCACCCCATTATGGTCCTGTGAAGGTCCTGCAGCTGCTGCTCTGCTCTGAAACAGCTTTCTAATTAGACTTCAGCTACACATTCACCTTTACAAAGCTCACAATGACAAATTAAATGGAATCTATGTCCAAATCACTCATTTTTATGCTTAATTTTAAACATCTTCCTCAGTACAGTCTGTTATTTCAGTAAAACACACACATACAAGTTTGTTTTGCAGCCATTTTGAAACCAGGCCAAGTCAAACTTGGGCCCTGATTTTTAAAAACCTTAGGAAATGTGTCTTGATCACAGGCTTTGACAAATCCGAACACAGCAACAGCAGCGGCTTCATCCACTCAATTGATAACATCTGGGAGATGTTCTAATCCAGTGGTTCTCAAACTGTAGTACGCAGTGAAAATTCATATTTTCACATTTATATTTTCAATTGAATAAACCTGAAACATACCATGCACAATTAATAAAACATTTAGAAAATGAAAAAAATGTGTAGCTACGTGTGACAAATAGGATGTAGCTAATAGAATAGATATAGAAATAGCTAACAGGGCAGGCCTATGCTGCTATATTCTAATGTTGGTCATCATGATGATAATCGGAGAGCTCAATGTTTTCTCAGCTGGCTTTAAATTATTTTTCTATTTCATCACATTTCTTGAAGAGGATATATCTGGATTAATCATGCCAATCGATCCCAATCACAAACCTAAGGAAACCTAAGAAACAGAAACAGACATACAAATAAAATAGAATATATTTTGGAGTACAAATTATGTGGACAGATTTAACAAAAAAGGATGAATATAAAAGTGTTGTGGGAAAACGGAAACATCTTTGTAACCCAAAGATGTCATGGGGTAATGGTGCTGTCATGACCTGGACATATGTGTCTGCCAGAGGAACTCACCGGACACCATACATCTGCCAAGGTCTGTGGGCCTGAAGCTTTAGGGTAACCCATAAAACACCACGTAATACTGCATATGCTGATTTTAAATGTATGTGTCTGGCCAGTGACTGAATGGACTGCTAATAGATTTTGTTACTCTGTATTTAAAGATGGCTACGAGGAAAAAAGGACTTCACAGGAAAGGAAGAATAGTTATTAATGTTGTAATTTTGTTTTGTTTTGAGCTTAATAAATTAAAGTTGGAGTCATTAAAAGTTTCATTTGAGAGATTTACTTGTTAGGTTTCATTTGGTTCTCTAGACCAATCTAGCAATCAGTGGCCACAACTGGATTCCAAAACAAACATCATATAATGACATTAGACAAAATCATTTCATTTTATTTGAGTGTGCAGCCCGTGTAACTCAGGAGAAGTTGTTAAAACTTAATCCTCAGCATTGATTTCAGATATTTCTGCTGCTCTTGGTAAATTTTATGTGTGGAAAAAAAAAAGATAAAAAAATAAACTCTTAGTCTTGAGGCCTGCAGACCTTTACTCTAGGCTTCTATTTGAAATGCTGCCAAATCCCTAAAAAGCCTTCTCCGTGGGTCTGCAGTGTAAACATGAGCCTGTCAAAATTGAAATCTCCTTTCAAAGAATTTGTTTTCCGGGCGGATATGTTGAAAACAAAAACAGGAACTACAGTCAAAAGAACGCAAGCTCAAAAAGGATGGGAACAAAGGAACACGTCTTACTCACCGAGTCGTTGGAGACCAAACTGACCGAAGCCTTTTCCTCTCACAAAGCCCTGATACACGAAGGAGTTGGATGAGGAGATGTAAGACACCTAGGGAAAAAGACAGAGAGAGAGAGGGGAACAGAAGACAAACACTGTGTGTCACTTCCCAGCTTTCCAAAGCAACCTATCATCTCAGTGTCGGAAGACGGTGCATGCAGAAAATGAAACATCATGTCGGAGCTGACATTCAATACCATGTTCTTCTGCTCAGTACCACAAACACAAACACACTCAGGCCGACTGTACAAAAAGTTTTTCCTTCACGTGCGGTTCTCCGTGCACTGGAATGTGCGAGCGGAAGGGCACGGCGTTTACTAAATCACATCCAAAGTATGTGTGCCGCAGACGCCCGAGGTTTGAGGGCGATGTGGGACAGCGCAGTGCGGGGAGGGAAGGGGAGGGTCTGTGGAGTGCAGATTACCAAGCGATGATTTAACTGACATTTTAATTAAAAAGAAAACTCCTGGTGTGTTCCTTCCCCTCGGAGTGACAAGGCTAATGTGTATGTTCGCCTGCGCATCTATCACAATAATTGTGTCAGTTAAAAAAAAAGCGGCAACGTTCTGCAGTCGTTGGGGGGTGGGTGGTGTTGCGTCGATCCTGACCATATACTTACATGTCCATCCAGGGCCCAGTTGTCTATTTTGAACTTGTTGACAAAGATCTCCACGGGGCCTCTGATCTGATGGACCTGCAGCAGCAGCTGAGCTTCGTCCCGTTTATAAGTACCTACAAGAAAACAGCAGCAAAACACTTATGTGATACTCATGTTTTTTTTTCCTTAATTCAATATGAATTCCTCCTGATGAAATATATATTCAGATATAAGGGGTTGTTATTGAGTCTTGAGGATCAACGGGAAAATATCATGTGGTCCCCACTATTAAAGCAACTGAAAAAACATCAACTGAGACTCAAACAACTATCAGTATCCACCACCATTTACAATTTACAATCCATTATACAGAACTGTAATTTTTATTTCATTCATTTCATTTCATTTTATTATTTAAAAACAATAAATAAAAAAATAAAACAATCCGACATTCATTAACCTACAGGTAACTTAAAAGTTTCCATAATCCCAACACTCATGAGAAGCTCATGAAGTATCACAAGGAACTGATGTTCAGAGTACGTGACTGATACCTGGTCTTCTATCTGAAAGGTCATTAGTAGTATAAATAGTAATTAGGATAAACACTGAAAGATCATCATCATATTAAGAAAAAAAAAAGCGCAACAGAAATCTGACTTTGTCTGCTAGGATAAAGAAAGTAATCGATCCTGACATGACCGCAGGCCAGCTGCTCTGTTTTTCAGCTCTGTATTGCTGAAATAATCAAACACCACCATCAGAAACAAACCTTATCTCAATGTCTAAAGCCTGCGGAGCAAAAATAGTTGATTGACTGTTAAGTATCATGTTAATTATCATCTTTGAAACTAATTGGAAAGGTGGAAAAAAGACACGTATTTCATTATCAAGCCTAATTTGATTTTCTTCCCTTTCATTTACTTAAGAAACAGCCATGCCTCAGTTAGCTGCTAATTTGCTGTGTTAACTTAAAATGCCACAATGTTGGTCAAATATCTCATATAGTAATAACAAGAGACAGGCAGAAACATCTGACAGTGTAACATGTAAGGAAATAAATGGTAAACATGTACAAATTGATTTGAAATTTAAAACTAAACATTTATGGTTAACGAGCAATTAATCAGAACTCCTACGATTGGTGGAAAGCAACAGGTTCCAGTTACTTTTAGACAAGAGTGTGCATTGCGTGTAGACTGTAGAAAAGCCATCGTCCTTTATTTTTCCATATTTAATGCCTATCCTGAAGTGCTATGGCGCCCCTAGGGGGAGTTGCACTTGTACAAAGACATTTACAAGAGGTCTTGAAGTTATAAAGTAGGACTTGATTTATGTCAACTGGGTAAATATGTGAAATATTCCCTCAGTCAAACTTCTGTGTATTACTGTATACAAACCGGCCAGTTTGAGTTCGACTCCGCTGTGATCAATGAGCGTCCCGTTGACACGGTTGCTAAAGGGTTCAAAGGCAGTAATGCTGAGCATAGCAGGCTGCTTCTTCCCCAGGTATTCATAGGATCCCCTCCAGAGGGAGTTCTTTGCAAATACACCACCGGGTACTGTGAAAGGGAAGGAGGACATTTTATACAAAATAAAAAAAAGAAACGTGCAATATTTTGTTTTCTTGAATGAAACTTTTACAGATAAGTTAAGGTTGGAGGAAATATTAAAAAAAAAAAAAAGAAGGGTTACCTGGTAATTTGGAGGGGGGCTCCTGCACAGTCCCCACTGGGCTTTTACCACTGGGGCGGTTATCCGCTGGGAAGCACAAACATTAAACATTAGCAACAGTAGATAGGAGCAATGAGACCTCACACATTGAGTGATACTTGATAAATCACAACACAATGAATATATATTCAGATATATACTGAGTGATATATCTGAGAGATACTTGCACTATGGCAATTGTAGCAGCTTCAGAATGCTTGCCTTCGAGGTCGTAAGTAAGGAGAGACAGTAAGAAACAACTGGCCCTAGTGTGAGACGCACCAACGGACCAAGAGTCGGTCACATGATGACACCTTCAGTATCTACGGTCTGCTCCTTTGCCACAGTGGCTAACGGTCGGAGGGAGGACTCCGGCTGTCAAACACAGCTAAGCTAAGTTACACACATATTCAAGGGGAAGCACTTAATTAACGCCTCAGACTCACACAAGGCCGTGGGTCTTCACCACTGTAGTAAACACACACCCACACAGGCAGAGGGTCAGAGTGACGAGGGCTTCGCGGAGAACGGCAAACAGCGACGGAGACAACAAACAAACACAAACACCACCGGGGTCCAATGTGTACGGATAAAAATAGGTTCACGTGGCCACACTCCTCCAGCCTTCAACCTCACTATTGCTGCCCCTGCAGGTGTTGTTAATATCCCACATTTGTCAGACCAGTTCTTTCTTCTTCTTTGTTTTTTTTTTCCAACCTAATAGCACGGCCATCAGCCTCTACATTCCTCTTCAAACTATTAGCATCGCACTGCGTGAGATAATTGTGTGACGATGGCTCAATTTTCTCTATGTATGTATTTAGACCAATGCTTAAGGGTGTCCTAATGGCTGTCTATTTGTCTGTTAAGACCTTGTTAACACTACCACGGCATTTATAAGAGGCACTCCTGCTAACACAATCAATGGGAAGCAATGGCCTAATCAGGTTTTGTACCCTTGTTAATGTTTCAAAGCTGTGCATCTGTCTGTGTGTGTGGGTGTGTGTGTATGTGTGTGTGTGTCTAGTCCAGTGTAATTGTGTGATGGATGAGCCATTCTGTCCTGGCATGTGTCTGAGAATAAGCGGATGTTAGCGCAGCTATTCATCAACATTAGCCCAATCCCCACCATCCCATCCTGAGACTTTGCTAAACTCAGCAGCTGCAAAAAAAAAAAAAAAAAGGTGAGGTTTTTTTTTCCACTTTAGACCTGCAGTCTTTTGAGGATTGTTGACTGGATGAATCTATGTTTAGTTTCCCGCAGCAGCATGTCAGTGTATTAGGCTTTGACCACACATGTGCCCCTGTTTCCATTACCAGCTCATCTCCACCAGTGTCCAGCTCCACTTGACCCCCTGCTTCATCAGTCTGATCCCCAGCCCATTCCCCTGCAGACTGACCGTTCATCCTGCCACGCTCGCAGCTTAGTCTCTTTGGCTCCGTCCGGCAAACCAACAAGTTATCTTTGCCCTGTGCCTTTATTTGCCAAAAACCTCACATCCTCTCAATAACTCCTGACTTTTTTTTTCCCTCCAGAGTAAGACTTAGAAGTTTAGTTTCTTTCAGACTCAACATTCAAAGTTTACTAGTTTTGATTGAAACCAGTAGTTTCAATAACAAAATGACTGAGTATTATATGAGTATGAGTATTATATGTCAGTAAAAACAAGTCAGCATACGCATCCCAAAAACAGCCAATGGAAATGCAGATATGTAGCATCAGGTATTTCAACCAGCTCTCTGGCAGCTGTAACTGAACTGCGTTAATACCTGCACAGATAGGTGGCTTCCCTGTCCAGCTTCCATCAGACTTGCAGGTCCTGTGCTCTGATCCTCCAGCCAAGTAGAAACTGGGCTGACATGTATAGATGAGCGTGTAGCCGAGGGATGGCAGTTCAATGGCTCGCACATCTGACTGGGCTGGCAGCTCAGGTTGGCTACAGTGGTGGGCTGGACAGGAGACACAAAAAGACGGATTAGAAAAATAGAGAACATGGTTTTAAAGATACAGGCTGAAGTTTAGCTAGGGAGATGAAATGGGAAAAGGACCAGAGAAAAAAAAAGAAAAGAAAGAAGACAACCCTGGAACCAAAAAAAACAAAAAGAGAGAAAACACCAAGTGTGTAGATGTGGGGATCTGGAAGGACAATGGTGTGAGTTTTAAATAATGCAAACCTTATCTCAAGGTTTTGATTCCCCTTCGGCTACACACACAAATACGCAATGAATTTACTGGGCATGTATTGTCTGACAGCGCGCTTACCAATACACTCAGGTTGAAAACCGCTCCATGTGAGGTTGGGTAGACAGGTGCGTGAAATAGAGCCCTGCAGTAAGTAGCCCTTTCTGCAGCTGAAGAACACAGTGCTGCTGATCTATAAAAAGAAGCACAAGACGATGTGGATTTGACACCATGCACACTGATTTTGCACATTTGTAGTTTTGTGATTCTTTTGCTATAAAAATGTCACATTCAGGACAACATATTTAAAAACAACGCCTACATTTAAATATAATTAATAAATATGATTCCTACCTGATAGCCTTGACTGTTGTTTTGATTTCCAAAGAGAGGAGACCCAGGGTCTCCACAAGTGGTGTGAGTGGGATCTGAAACAATCACACACAAACACATGCACAGAGAGAGTTCTTTAATCTACTCAGTCTTTAATATTATGTTTAAACAAGTAGCAATTATCATTCACGTCACTGGCACGACATCATCTCTGATACATTATGGGGCTTTTTTACAGGTATGGAGGTGAAATACTGGCTGTGAGTGTGGAAGCAATAAATTACAAGCTGTACTCACGTGAGCTGCTTTATTCAGTACATGAACTGCACTGCAGAATTTTATGAGTGATGTGAGCCTACTACTGACTGGGTTTGATGTGGTAAACACAGTACAAAACTCAGGTCAACATAAGAGTAATTTATTATGTGTGTATGATGCTCATGAAATTTGCACGTAAAGAATCATTGATTTTATTGCCAACTCGTCACTGACGTGTGCTATGGTTTTTGGATGTACAGATATCTGAAGATAAAAAAAAATCAGAATTGCTGATCTAAAAGCTTGCATTACAAGAACATAATTTTGGAATAGAATGCCAATGTGATGAAAGAACATATTTTGACCAAGAGTGTATAAAGTCAGTTTTCCTAGGAAATTGATTTCGCTCTGGCTAATCAATGGTTCAATTTATATTAAAATTAATGTTGCATTTTAGCCATTTTACTGCTAATATGTGTCTAAAACAATTATTGTTGATCCATGACAGAGGTAAATTCAATTTGTTACAGAACTATAATGGCTCAGAGTTTTGCACGTGTGCATATTTTATTCCAAATACCACAACGGACCTAAGGGCTGAAACGATGCTCAAACAATTTGGTTCTGGGTGAAGTGTTTATTTTAAACACCGCAATTTCCCTAAGTGCTCCAGTGAGTTTTACAGAAAAGAAATATTTTCTACTCTAGTTCTTGTTTTGTTTTTGTTTTTTGTTTAAATAACAATATTATGCCCCCATAAAATGAAAATATGAAATTTGCAGCCAGTGCTGCATTCAGAAACAATATGTAAAAAAGAGCCAGAAAGTACAGTAAGAAAAAGTCTATAACTGTGTAAAAAAAAAAAAAAATTAAATTATCCAAAAATATATGTAGTTTATTTGTGAAAGACAAACCAAAGTATAGTATTGTGATACGAGTTCACTTACACTGATAGTAAAGAGTAATGGAATATAATAAATACAAAAGGACAACAGTGTTGTTTGCTTTGGTTGGTTGGGTCATAGATTTTACACTCTGATTCCATCAACAGATGTATTTCTTTTTATGTTACTGCTTTGATTTGCTTTGAAACAAATAATATAATAATGGACCTCAGCGTGTCTCACCTATACAGGACGGCTGTGTGCCACTCCAAGTTCCGTCATATTGGCAATATCTCCTTATGGAGCCAACCAGGACTAGCGGCGGGTAGCAGGAGAAGGATACAGAGGAGAGGTAGGTGAATCCTCTGTCCTCTCTCCTCCCCTGGGCTGGCATCCCTGGATCTCCGCAGAAGACGGCTACAAAGATTAAGACGGGGGAGGTAGAGGAAGTCTTTGGATGTAATTCAATACCATGTGAGGGTGGTGAAATGTCAAGCACACAGTATAACGTAGGCTGACACAACGTCCTATCAATGTCAGAGGCAGATCAATGAACGGTGATGCTGTAGGGCGTCCAAGGATGGGACCACTTACGGAAGCACTGCGGTTTTTCTCCGCTCCAGTTTCCGTTGCCCTGACACGTCAACACTGTGGGCAGGGACAGCTGGTAACCTTGGTTACAGGAGTAGCTGATGCTGGAGCCCCAGGTGAAGTCCGTACCGACCACTTGTCCATTTGGGATGGTGGGAGGTTGACCGCACACAATTGCTGCCAAAAGTGGGGAAGGGTTTGTGTCATGACACGTTCATATTGTTGAAGTACTTGGTACTAGGTCGACTACAACTGCAACGGTACCTCTACAAATGGGTTTGGTGCCATTCCATGTGCGATCCTTGGTGCATACGAGGGTTGAGACCCGATCAGCGTCCATTATAAACCCAGGAGAACACTGGAAACTGACGGCGCGGTTGTAGGTGAAATCGTTCCCTATCCTCACACCATTGGCTGGCACACCAGGGTCACCACAGTTGATTACTGCAAACAAACGAAACATTAACAATTCATATATATGAGCACAGGATATAACTTCAGCATCACGTGAATTCAGTGATTCCCAATCTTTTTTGGCTTTTTTGGTTTTTGACCCCTTATCAACATCAAATGACCACAGCCATCAGTCAAGATGCACCTGCTGAAATATTTTATTTTTTTGAAATATATATTTTTCATTAAAACATCAATGGAACCTTAAAATGAATGGACTTTCATATGCATTCAAACCAGTAAAAGAAGTTCATGTCATCAGTAAACATCATCTAAAAACATTGTTGCTAATCTTTCTCTATGGGTAATTGGTACTTCATTTATTGTAATGTACTTTTAATATTAATATATACATATAGATATATAATTGTAAAAAGGACGTGACTCACAGACTTCACATCATAGTGCAAACAGACCGCTTCTCAAATATGTTATTTACCTCAAATGATCCTTTTGTTTTTTATTAAAGTTGAGGTAAAGTTACTTTGCTGTCCTTCATTGACCCCAGTTTGTTTATCCGAGCCTTGACACGAAAATTATTGCTTTTCCGTGGTCTTTTGCATGGGGTAATGAATCGCCCTCCCAGGATCAATTAAAAGTTGCCTGAGTCTGAACATCTACGTCCCGCGGAGTACAACGGCGGTTTGACGGCAAACTTGAGAATTTGACTGTGTGACTCAGCGGCCTCTGTGCTGTAGCTGCTGTGAATGTCTACTGAGGAAAATCCAGTTGTCTGAAACAAAGGGGTATCATTACGCAACGGTCACATGACTAGCAACATAGTAAAAGTCCCAGCGGACAGAGAAAACTGGGTCTTCAGAATTAAAGAGCCAGAGAACACGCTTATTTGTCCCACTGGCCTAGTAACACTGCGCTGCTTTTAGCCACAATGTCTGTCAATTTTGGAGTACTGTTTTTGTCAAAAGTAAACAGTTTTAGCCAAAGACCCAATTCAGCACTCAGATATTAAGATGATAAACAACAGGGTTTTTATTTTATTCAGCTAAAGCTGCACCAAAACTGAGGCTTAGGAACAAATCTGGCAGGAATTGTTCTGATCTTATAGTTTGTTTTTTTGTTTCTCTGAGTGAATGAGTATTGATCTCCATTCTTCATAATAGCTCTGCTTAAGGCATTCTTTCCTTCCACTGAGTGACATGACAAATCTGCTGTAAAAACAATGGACAGTTTGGTCATAAATTACTGTTTATACTGGGCCAGAAAAGACAGGAAGTACATCAGGACACATGTGGGTCCTTCCTCTGTGACGGTAGTTTATTACCTGAGCATTCCGGCATGTTCCCAGTCCAGGTCCCGTTCACAGTGCAGTGTCGGGTGAGCAGGCCAGTAGAGTAATAGCCCTCCCTGCAAGAATAAGTGATGGATCTGGAAAATGTCAGGCCATCGTGGATCAGGATCTGGGAGTTCCGAGGAGTTCCTGGGTTTCCGCAGGAGATGACTGAAAAGAAGAAAAAAAATGTCAGAGGTTCTTCACTTATGCAGTGGGGATTGGGGAGCATTAGCATTATGTTAGCACTATTTAATTCTTAAAAAAAAATTCCCTGTAATAGCTTCACACCACCAGTAGGGGTGTAACTCTTACACTGCTTAACAAGACTTTTTTTATAGTGTTGTTTTCAGAGATATTGTAGGTTTTCTTAGGTGTCTGTTTTTATTGCCTCGATGTCAACGGCGCCTCCCTCACATAAGCCTACTTTGACGGACATATCCTTCGCTCACAGAATTTCATTGTGTCCATCTATCTGCCAGCAGTGGTTCTGTTTATTACTGTCTCCAGCTTGTTTCCGGGCCTCCTGAGACCTCTGGGCATTGCCTTACAGTAATGACCAGATGTGGTCAGGTCCTTGAAGTCTGTGCCAAGTGAGAACAGGTGGGCAACCCTGGTGAGGGGGCAGATACACACCACAGAGGAAATGAAAGAGTGAGGGAGGCCGGGGAGAACAGAGGTGGTGGTGTGACAAGAATTGGTTTTATCTGCAGTGGGTGTTAAGAAAACTAAACTAGAAAACAGTGTGGGACACAAAAAAGAAGGAAACTAGCAAATCCTTTAAGCTGAAGAGACAGAGGAAACTGCTGGTTTAAAGTTTTTAGAACAGTTAGTATATAGAACCATCATTAAAGAAAAACAAAAACCTAAACTACACACAGTGTATTTCTCATTGGTTCAACAATTCTTCATATTGTTGTTGTCTTGTCAAAAAAAAAGACCATTGTAAAAGTTAGGTTTTCTGTCCACATAAGTAGGAAATTTGCCAGGACATAGTCCTGCAGACATTGAGTAGCATTTAAGTTGTCAACACCATAAAACACTCAATGGAACTACAATTAGCCCTAATTAGGGCAATTATTTAGGCGACAAACTCCCTAATTTAGTTCACACCAAGTCTCTGCAGGTAGAGTAAAAAAAACTGGGCATGAACTTTGTGTAACGTAGTAACATACACTTCCAATTATAATGTGCAATGAATTTAACATTGGTTTAGACAAGTGATCATCAACTAGTGGCCAGTGGGGCGAATCAGGCCCGCTATACCATCCAATCCGGCCAGAGTCTGAATTCGAAATTTGCGCAGATCAAAGAAATATTTATTCTGATTTTCAATGGGTCTGTCCAAAAAATTATCGCCCTCTGACAAATATATTGAACCCCGCCCTATATGTTGAAAATAACAAACAGTTTTAGATAGTCCGTACCATGACACTCTGGTTGTGCTCCGTGCCAGGTACCGTTGGCAAGGCAGGTTCTTTCTGGAGATCCCTTCAGCATGTAGCCAGGCTCACAGCTGAAACGGACAACACTGCCCACCGTGAACTCCTCGCCCAGGCGGATCCCGTGCACGGGGACACCTGGATCACCACACAGTCCAGCAGACTCTCCTGAGGAGACGGACAAGCACATGCATATAAGTGGAAAACTACACAAAGTTCTGGATGAAAAAAAAAAGAAAAATGAAGTCTGACCCATCCCTAGTACTTAATGGCTTTTTGAAAATATTTACTTTTACCGTCCAACTGTACAAAATGTCCACAACGCACACATCCCCTGTACTTCCCAGCAGAAACTCATCCAATATCGTTTATTACTGCTATGAGCTGCTGTTGCGTCTCATTTCACAAAGAGCTGGTCAATACCACCAAGTCAGGGAAATCTTTATAAAGTGGTTGTGTTTACTGCCCGTTGGAAGAACACTGGCGAACCCTTGGTTATATGACTGTCATGAATTGTGACATTAAAGTGTCAGTGTCTTCATTTTACTGTCAGGAAGCTTATGGGATTGTGGCTGCCTGTTGGACTCTGTGTCCTCCCGGTTACATCTTTGAGAATATGTGTTGAGTTTGTGAATATGCATTTTTTTTATATCTGGATAACCTCAACAGGGTCACTGGGGACGCGTGGAGCTTTGAAGTGAATCACTGTAAAGGTAAAAAAAGAAAAAAAAGAAAAAGCAGTTTGTGGGCCAATGTCTTTATAGTGCTTCATAATGCCACTGAGGTGTAAACTACTACTTCTTCCCTCTAATATGAAGAGGATAAAACAGTTTTATAGGGGACACAGTTTTTGCCCTTGAGGCCTTTGGAGCAGACACTCAGATTAGTCACTGGTCCACCCACAGCTAAAGGCTTCCATATAAACTCCTTGTTTGTTGCCATGGCATCACAGGATTGACCATGTGATTTGATGTAAGATTCAGTAAGGCAGTTAAGAAGAAATGCTACAGAGCTTTTAAAATTTTGTCAAGTAATTCAATTCACCAAATATGGTCATTTTCATTTTTTTACTGTTCCAAACGGTCAGTCAGTCAATCTGGGGGTAGTTTTCCATACCGGAGCAGTGTGGTGGTGAGCCGCTCCACTGGCCATCCAGCTGGCACATCCGCGTCGTGTTGCCAACGATGGCACGCTGACCGATGCAGCTATAGCGGATGACTGCACCTACTGTCCGGCGGTCGCCCGATATCTGAGTGTAAGGTGGCATGCTGGGACGGTCACACAGCACCACTGTCCAATCAGGGGGAACAAAGGAAACATTAACTGCCAGGTGAGGACTAGAAAATGTCACGCTGGAAAACTTCAATTAATCCTAATTTAACAAAGAAATCTGGAGCTGCAAGTATCACATTGGTTTTAGGGATGTTGTTAAAAATGTGGTCCTTACACAGACACTTCGGAAGGGAGCGATCCCAGGTGCCGTCGCCCTGACAGGAGATCGAGCTGGTGCCGAGCAGGTAATAGCCTGGGTTGCAGCGGAATGACACAGCGGTCTGAAAGCTATAGCGATGTGGGCCACTGGACAGCACCTGCCTCACGCTGTTCTCCACATGACCTGGATCTGTGCAGTTTACAACTGAGGAGGAGAACAAAACACGTTAGGGAAGAGGATACAGGGAGAACATTTCATTGAACTCAAACTTCAAACTACTTTTTCATGTTCAAACTATTTTCAGTCCATTTCGTAGATGTTAGTTAGACATGATAAAATGTTCACCCGGTGATTTCTCTCTTTCTCTGTGTCCGATACTTTTCTAATCTACTACTTCCCCTCATCAAGCATCCATCCATCCAGCCTAAATGGAGAAGGAGGCAGACTCCTCCGGAAATAAACATTTGCTTCATTAGAGCTAGTCTCCTGCTGGCTGCAGTGGTGCAGGGATGGTGATGGATGGAGAGCTCACAGGAGAAAAGGCACCATGTCAGTTTAGCACCAGATGGAGGGAGTTAGGCATGACGGGAATGAGGATGTGAGAGGAGCCAGGGACAGTAAGGGGAGGAGGGGTTAGAGCAAGAGGATGAGACCCTGATGGTGCAGAAAATATTAAAATTTATGACAGAATGTCAGGCTGCCACTGCCACCGACATCAATCCATCTCAAGTTCCTGAGATGCAGCAACACAAACCCAGAAACCTTGCATTACCCCAACAGAGCAGGAAAGTTTGTTTTTTCTTTTGTTTGATCCTCCTCTGTAATGTGGAAGGCAAAAAAAAAAAGAAATGTGTGATGCGATGCTGAATCTCTAATGGCTTCTATAGCACTGTCTGCAACTAAGCACATAGCCATTACTTCCCAGTCTGTGCTGCTAGTCTGCTCCTCTCCGCGTTTACTTTTGTTACAAATATAATGAACACGTTGTATGGTAATGTGCCTAAAAGTGCCGTTACTCGTGCTTTGGCTCAGCTTCATCTTCTCTAAATTCTTCTAATAATTTATTCCTCTCTGTGGAGAGCTGACCTGGGGTTCCATCATTTACAACTCACAGCATGTAAAGCGCATTTTGATGTGAGGCTGCTGTGGTAGTTGACTTCCAGAGCTCAGGACTCCGCTAAATGCGAGCGAAATAGGGTCAGAATCCATTTTCTAAAAACTGGACTCCTAGTTAATGTTCGTCTCCAGCAGAAAGGGAGGAAAGAGAGTCAGTGTTAGAGGGGGGAAAAAAGACCAGGTCATTCCTCTCACTAAACCCTGGCCACATCCTTCACCTCCTAATCTCCTGCCAAGTAGCAAAATCAGGATTGAAGACAAATAAGTCATCCAATAAGGGATAATGTCACTGCTCCATTGTCGTGATTGAGACTAGAGGTATGTTCTTCCGTCTTTTGCATTATTGATAGACTTTACTGCAGTTAATATCGAGCCCAAAGGAAACATTACATTTGTCCGATTGACTCCTGCCTCCAAAAGAAAATCCCACGTTGAACAGAAGCCAAGGTTGAGGGGAGATGAAAAAAAGCGGATGTGAAAGCACTTTAAGATTTCCACTTGGGTTAAGAGGAATATGGCACAACTCATCCAATTTGCCCTGCGTGGTGTAAAAAATCCTATTAGAGAAGACATTTTTATATACACAGCACGTACCCAAACAAACAAACAGAGCTGCACACAAAACACACAGCATCTGCATGAAAACAAGGTCAACGCTAATATGATGTAACCATTAGAGGGCTGGGATTCAAAGTGTATCTCTGCGTGAAACAGTCCCTGCTTACGCATGTAGCAGACATGTTATTTTTGGCCAGTGAAGGAGAATTCCGGTGACATTCTTAACCTCCTTATCCACATGTATGAGTTTCCCGTTTAAAACAATCTCATAAATCCACTTTCCTTCCTGCCCTCAGCCTTTGACATGGGTCTTAAAGTACTTTTTTTTTACCACCAATTTCTTCTCAAATAAAGTTTAGTTGGGTTACTTCTTATTTCAGCAACAGACTGAAAACACGTCCCCCAAGAATCCTGCAGTCATTTTGAGGTGTCTCAGCAAGGTTATTAACTGACTCAGGTTGCTTGACAGACAGGTGATCCTAAAAGGAAATAACAGGACTTGTAAAAATGATCCCAAAACACCACGGACCGTGTATTTGAGACACCGTTAATGAAATAATCCAAACTTCTCTTTGTTATTCTTTTTAATTTCCCCCAACATTACTTGTTTAAACTCCACGTTCCTCCAGGGTTTCGAACAATTCCTCTCCGCTCTCTGTAATTGGGGTCATTTATGGTCACAGAAGGTAAGACTTTGTACAGTGCAACAGGTAATTTAATACCTCGCTAAATAAAGGGAGGATAAAACAGAAGCAGAAAATGTGCCTTCAGGCAGGAAGATGGAAATGAGAAGACTTTGTGAAAATGGTTGAGTCACTGACAGACAGAGTTGCCGTCCAACGGCTTATTGATCGCCCGAAAAATGTGCCACATGTGAACTCTCCTTTACCCTTTTCGCATATTAGGGGTAAAATGAGAGCTGAGCTATTGAAATCAAAATGTCCAGTTAGCCATGATCCCCAACCAGAAAGAAGATGAAAGATAACCCATGAAAAAAAACAGAGATTATGCAACACCATACAGTTAGAGTTGGTTTGTAACAGGTGATCTCACTGCTACGATGCTAATTAATATATTTGCTCCCATTGGACAAGCTACGTCTTACATCCTGGCTCTCTGTTAACCTCCACTTCTCTGCCATGTTTCCTCATTTTTCCAGAGGCTACTTCAACCAGTTAGCTCCTCCACCTCCTCCTCCTCAGACTGTCAGCTAATGTTCCACTGTGTTAACCCAGGTTCCTTGCACCTGCTTCCAATGACATTATTTTTTTTTTTTTTTGTACCTGCTTGCTAGCCCGTCCGCTCGCTGTGTGCTTGGTTTTGCTAATTAAAGTTGATTCACTGAACCTGCCTACCGCTGTCTGATTTTTGGGCCCTCCCTGACTGTGCTGGTTTATCAGCTGTGACGGGGGGAATCTTGCCCACTATGGATTTTAACACGCCCTATGTCTTAGGAAGCTTGTGATATGCATGGCCTTTAAATATTCCTTTAACACTCTCAGAGCGTAAGGCACTGGCAAAATGACAAAATCTTGTATTGTCTAACCTTGGGATGATGGAGAGCTCCGCCATTGCAGATTTTTGTGGTATCTGCTTTTTTTTTTTTTTTTTTTTTTACAGTACATCAACTTTGCCTGCATCCTGGTGGGGTTGAGGAGAAACTTTTTTATAAAATAAATAAATAAATTCTCTCCCTCTTTTCCCGGTCCCTACAGCATGACAATAAACAACACACATTCTTTCGAGGACATTGAAAACCCAGCATGTATCCACCCTTGCCTCTCGCAAATAAATGACTGTATACACGGTGCCTCCAGAACCCAGTGGCACATAAAATCAAACACAAAGTCTGGTAAAGTAAATGTGTTGTTGTTTTTAACCTTAATCCAAGATCATTTCATCCGCAGTTACAAAGTTCTCCACAAGTCATAGAGTCATAAAACAAGCAACTTGACACTCACTTTTACACCGGGGGAGAGCGTTACTCCACTGTCCGTTGGCCTGGCAGGCAGATTTTACAGCTCCCTGCAGAACATATCCGGTATTGCAGACGAAGCGAACAACATCGTTTAAGTTGAACTGGTTTCCTTGAGTTAAGCCGAAGGTAGGGTTACCGGGATGTCCACATGTGATGGCTGAAAAGGGGATAAAAACATATATAGAAACATATCTCTATATATGTACTGTATATACACACTGTCATGCATCATGATAATCCTGACAGTGTGTTACTCACGGACACAGACGGGTGTGTTTCCTGACCAGCGGTGGTCCTGTTCACAAATCCGCACCGACACCCCGATGAGACGAAACCCTGGGTTGCACTGGTACACGACACTACCTCTGTAGTTGTAGTTCTCTCCAATGATCTGTCCGTTCACTATGGGCTCTGGTGTACCACAATGGCCAGCTGTGGGTAAATGTATAAGGGTAAACAGTCAACGTTAAACGTTGATATTTGAAAGTTTCAAATTGAAGTAAAGTTTTTTGCAGTTGAAGGACCTCACCGAGACACTGAACCTGTGTTCCACTCCAAAGCCCATTTGACATACACTCTCGTACCCGGGAGCCCACCAAGGTGTAACCTGTGTTGCAGGAGAAAATGGCAGTGGCTTCGTGCACAGTCAGTGTTCCGATCTTGTTGCCATTTGGTGGCGTTCCAAGGTCCCCACAGGAAATAACTAAAATAGGAAGAATAAAATCACAAAACAGCAATCCCAAACTGTCAAAAAAAATATCAATATTAATTTGTCTCCGTTAGCTTCTATTTACTCGTGCTTGTTTTGTAATGCATTCGCCTCACTGTGGAGATGACATAGTTTTGGATGCAGCTATACTCCAAATGTATATCAGTGATATTTGTATCAAATAGAAATTAAAAATAATCGGCAAAACCAGACGGCCGTATGTGTGGGTTCCCTTACTTCCACAGACTGGTCGTGGATCTGGGTAATTCCAGGTTCCGTTGGCTTGACAGCGTATGACCCTTTGACCCCTGTAGTAATATCCCGGGTCACATATAAGCATCATAATAGCATCATATTGGTTTTGAGTCCCGTAGATCAGTCTCCATCTCCCGTGCTCCACTGCTGAGTGGCCGATGTCAGGACAAGTCACAGCTGGAAATAAAAGACCGAACCAAAGACGATATTTGAATTTTGTTAAAACGAGCTAATTTAATATTTAACCTCAAACCCGGTTCAAAGGTTAGATGTGTAATGCATGAGTGCTGGAAACAATACTCACGTATACATCTAGGTGGCGCCTCAATGGGACTCCACCGACCAGATTCCTGACACGCCAACGTGGTCGTGACCGGACCAGCGATACGGAACCCAGGATTACACTGGTAGGTGACCCTGGCCCCTAGAGAAAAGTCCTGTCCAACAATACTGCCATTGACTGGAGGCACCGGCATTCCACAGGACATGACTGGGAGAGGAGCGATGAGGTGGGTAAGTTGAATTAATAGAATAACCACAAAGTAGATGTACATGTGCACAGTGATGTGGTGCAAATATTTTTAATACTTTAAGCAAGCATTTTTTGTGAAGGAAGGTCTTTTTTTTCCTAAGACTTCCAGCTAAACTCTTATAATGAACAATTAGCATTAGCAACACTTTAACCTTCTTCTTCCAATCATCTTCCATGACCTGGTGCTACACCAGTCCTCACCTTGACAGAGTGGCACCGGGGCATTCCACTGGTAGATGCCTTGTAAATTCCGGGTGCACGCGGCAGTGCTTTGGCCGATAAGCCGAAAACCCTGGTCACAGTTGAAACGCAGACTGCTCCCCAGCTTAGTGCCCGTCAGGCTGTGCACTGTGCCGTTCACTGGGTTGTTAGGGGGGCTGCAGTAAGCAGCTGTGGGAGAAGAAAGGAAAACAGGAACAGGTACAGATATAAGTTTAAAATCCAAAACGGAGCATGACAGTATAAACAGCATTAATGACGCAAGGCGATGCAAGTTGTTCCCGAGGTGAAGCATTAGCGTTCCTTCAGCGAGGAACCTCCGATCACGGCTGCCACCGTCGTCTACACCTGTCGCGGTGAAGAAGAATGTTTTAATAACGGCGGTACATTGTGCCGACTTCTAAAGGCAAAAAAGTGTGACAAGGAACGTAGATTTAAGCGAATAAACGGCAAAAACAAGAGGCTGTTGGGGGAAGCTGAGGCGAATGATAAAAGTGATGGATGGAGAATAATAGGAGCCATGTGTATCTGTTTTTGTTTGTTGACTAAATTGGCAGCTGTAGAAACGCTTCATCATCTGAAATAGTGACAGCAACAGGTCCGCAGTTGCCAAAAAAAGACTTTCTGGCCTAAATTTTACTGGTACAGAGCGTGCGATAATATGGCGTTGCCGCTGACCTCCTGGAGAATGAGGATCTCAGTTCAGCAGCACAGACTGATTGAATTCCGTAGAGCACACTGCAAGGTGTATTAGACAGTCGCAGTGTTTGAGGGGCCACCGCCTCACGTAATCTGCTCCTGTGACAAATATTATTTCAAAATTGTCAGGGGAGCCATCGGACCGTTTTGTTGCGCTGAAGAGGAGTCAAATAAAACCGGCTTTGTGTGAAATTTGACAATCAGATGCACAAGGTTTTCTTTTTGAAGATGATGTATAGTGGAGATTATCCCAGCTTTGGTGAGGTGTGGAATTCCAATGTGGAATAGTTGTCATCTTTGCTGTCACGAAAGGATAAATGGGCAGAAAATAGAACATACACAGTGTTTAAATCTTGACGTTCAATACAGTGACGGAGCTTTGTTCCACGTTCCGTCAGTCTCTGACAGCCACTCCTCCTCCTCCCCGAGTCTCGGGTTAATTATTTTTGCCCTTGCACCCTCCCGTTCTTCTGCCTGCTATGGTTTACGTGTTATGTCACGGTAATCTGCCCTGCAGTTAAGAGTCATCAGGACTACACCGTCAGGTGTCAACACTGGGGTAGATACTGGAATACTGGTAGGGAATATACTGGAAGGGAAATGAAATGCCTGAAAATCAACGGCACGATTTGGAATCATTTGAAAAAAAAAAGTAAGTCATGAAAACTAGAACGTAGGTCGTTGTCTCAAAGTCGAAGATGGCGTTGAAGCCCGTGGAGAGCGGCGGTGGACGGATGATGAACACAGCTGAATACACTGGAGCAGCCTGTGCCATCTGGTTTGCCTTTTGTCCCAGTCCACCAGCCAACTCCACACTGACCGCAGCAACTTCTGTGTTGCCTGCGAATACTTTCGTCAGTCTGTCACTCTGCCTCCTATGGAAAATTCCACCACGGTAGGGGACGAGAGGAGAAAGAGGGGGAGACAAAAAGTGGGCAGTGAAATGACAACGCATCCGGTTTGGGAGACGCGGCGCTCCGCTGAGAGGCCGAGGAAGATGATTAGTCAATCCGGCTGAGTGGTGTTGATACAGCATGGAGGGAGCCTTTTAAATATTTACACAGTTATAATTTACAGCAGGTTATGCAGGTGTCACGTACAAACAGATCTTTTATGGGAGCACGACTAAACAGAAAAGGAAAGAAAAAAAATTAGAGAACTGCTAGAAACAGCGTTCCCTAATTCCCAGGACTGCGCAGCATAGCAAGTTGTACCACAGATGCTCGCCACCCCCGCACGGTTGTCATGGAGATGGGTCATATTTCTAGTTGTTTCAGCTGCAGTTTGCTGCCTAAACATTGATCTTGCTGAGAAGAAACAAGACCAAATATAACTTTGGTTGAAGTGGAAATCATGACACCGGAGGAACGGAAATAAAGTAAAACAAATTTGCATTGGTTAACACGTTAACTATCAGCTGGTTACTAATAGTTTACTGAATAGAGCACTTAAAGGTAGTGGGAGTGAATTCACCTGAGTAGCGAATCTTGAAGCCTTTGTGGCTGGTAGTGTGATCGAAGGACCAGTGCAGGTAAACCTTATTACTGGAGCTGGTGATGCTCAGTGGATTGGAGTAGTTACCACTGAGGGTGATGAGGAGTGGACTCTGTCTGGATGGACCTGCAACATAGACAAAAAAAGAAAAGAAAAAAAAAGAAAAACGAATCTGGTTATGAGTTAAAAAAAGCAACAGCGCTTTGTAGTTTCATAACACAAAGATAAAATAACTACTATAAATACAATGCACTTAATTTTTTTTTTCTACTCAAGAATACATCAGCAATGTTGTAAAATGATTCCATGTTGTTTGTTCAGCTCCTCAGTGTATAAAAAAATTCTTAGTTGTCGGTCCTCTCAACTCGAAAGGAAATAAAAGGCACTAATCAGCAACATTAGTGTAAACGACGGCCATTTTCTTCGAACGGGCGGGGCAGAGTTTCTGACTGTGCCTCTAATCACATGCAAAGTGCTGTTCATGTGTGTTTTTCTACTAGAAAATGCACTGCTAGGATAAGGACATTCACATTGGGTCATTTTAGCTAATAATTGTGCAACATTTGTGAAAATGCAGCAGGTTGTTGAACAGAAAACTTTGATGTGTGTGTGTGTATATATATCATTCTACAGTCTAAATCATGTTGTCTTCTTGTTAGAAGGACAAACAAATGGACGATGTAAACACACTCAGACTCACCGTCGAAGATCTCCAGCTCGTCAAACTGTCGACTGGTTTGAAAGTGCTCGATAGTGAAGGTGATGTTGAAGCCCGGCTCCACTTTGACAACCCAAGAGCAAGACTCAAAGTGGGGGAAACCGTTGCCTGGTGATTGGCTCATGATGACACCAGTGGATGCTGTAAGCACCTCATTCATTGGGCAAGTCACTGGCGAGGGAAATGGAGAAAAAATTATTTTATTTGTTCATTTTTTATACAGTGATAGCTGGTCACTATTCCTTTGAGACTTCCACTCAGCTTGGATCACAAATTGGATTGATTCTGGCCGTGTAGATGTTAGAGGGCAACTCAATGTGACTAAAAGCATATCTCAGATAATTGTCATTCTGATGCAGTGAGACAGCTGTCCAAGTTCCAGTCTGCCCAGGAAAGGAATGTGTTTACCATACGTCATGAACCAGCGAATGAGTGTACATTTTCATCTCCATTCTTGTCGTCAAAACTGCTGAATGACAGCACTTGAAAGCAGAAAATCATTCTTACGCCGGTTTATATTGTTTTATACGTTGCACTTTTGCTGCAGTTTCCTGCAGTCGACATATTTTAATCTGCTCAAAGGGGGTTGTGAACACAGTGTGAATACAAATAAGACGTGACCTACAACAACATCACAGCTGCAGAAGCATCACAAGACTGGATTTAAAACAGCTGATAAAGAACTGACTGTACATCAAGGAGGTACATCTGTAAAATATATATTTTTCAGTTTGCTTGTTATATATATATATATATATATATACGTGGTCGTGTACATCCATTGGAATAGTTCAGTCCGCGATGCCCCGTGGGTTAGGAAGCTCTGAGCATTCATGGCACCTTCATTACAGAGGTGAAATATTGAATTTCATTCTAACAGTGGCTCCTATGTGGAATGTGGTGTGTGTGTGTGTGTGTGTGTGTGTGTGTGCGTGTGTGTGTGTGCGTGTGTGTACGTGGATCTATTTTCTGCATGCAAGTGTAAATGGCTGGGCTTTTGTGTTTGTGTCAACACTGCTGTGTGTTTGCCTTGACTTGCTTACCCTCCTCCTAGAGAGTTCATAGAGAGAGACATTAAATTCACAGGGGAAAAAAAAACAAAAACCTTTATGACAGCCGGCTTTTGCTAAACAGCATGGACAGACACTTTTTAACAGAGTTTCCTTTGCCCGATGTTGACTAAACCACATGAGTCGTCTCTGACGAGACGGCATGTCGACTTTCTAAGTAGCAAATACAAATGCGGAAATTCAAAGAATATTGACATGACATACATCTCTGCTGATGCACACAAACCTTTAAAAAAAAAAAAAACTTGTAAAATAAATTCCTGCCTTGAGAAAAAGTAAATGAAACAATCGATTCTCTGATAATGAGATGTGTGATGTTATTGACCTTTCAGAGTTGCGGCGTGTTTTCATAACTGCCCTCAGCTCGTCGAGACGAGAGCTAAGGCAAAGAGAACGGCTCTTATCTGTGGGCTGCTGCTTATCAAACGTTTCCACTTTGGCTGTAAACAAATGGGACATTAAAGGCACCAATTTGACATCTCAGCCAAGGGTGCGTCGGCATGCAAGGTGAGCTAAACGCCGATAGAAGCTCGAAATGAGTTTTTCATTTTAATGAAACAAGGAGGCAGAAATGAGACACCGCAGCTATCCAGGAAATAATAGGTCATCACACACACCTCCAGCAATTTACTCTAATTTGCCTGTGTGAAGGCGCCATAACACACATGTGGGGCACGACACGTGCATTTAAGAACAAGAATGAACGTATACGGTATGAGTGGTAAACCCTTCTACTCAACCAGAAAAATGCCTCGCAGTGTCTTGAAAAACCGGATGTTGTAGGTGATTATTGAGGTATTTACTAGAAATCCATTCAGGGAATGAACTCCAAGAATGTCAATCATCGGTAGACGTTGTGTTTTACAGATGAACTCGTGCAGCACTTTTACTGATGCTGACATGCTCAGTTCAGGTTTGGGATCCAATACAACCTCTGTTTAGTCAAACACTTGAGAGACTACGCCCCCCGACTAAATTAGAATCAAGGGTGAATGTGATTTTTTTGATATATATATACATGCAGTGTCTTTTATATCTATTTCTGTACTTCCATTTTTAGACACACAGATAGCCACCTGTGCCGTAGAGCGTGTAAAAATACATTTCATCGCATTTTGAAGCAGTTGGCGAGAAGGACAGAGAAGAAGAAAATAAAGGAGATAAAAAGGTGTGTGCTACGTAAGGAGTAGGGCCTGACGTTAGTGGGCCAGAGGGGGAAGTGAAAGAAGAGGGAGGGAGTGCAGATGGTGGGAATGCAGAGGATGAGAGAAGATACCGACACACGGGGCAGGGGATACTGCAGAACTGGCTGAAAGGAGCTAAGATCACACTGACAACCTCCACTGCTGAGTAACCCAAACACATATCTGACCACTGTTGTTGTCGGAGCTGTCTCTGCCCCGAGTGTGAGATGGAGTGTGTTTGTGGTGGCAGAAGCTTGACGTGGAGTGAGGGTTATGCCTGTCAGGGCAAGAAGTGGTGATTTGATAGGTGCAGCTGCAGCCGGCATGTCCCCTGCATTTCAATGACCTGTTTCACTTTTTCTCTTTCCCCGGCTTTCCCCCCGTCCTGTTGGACATTCGCTCATTTGCCATCCTTCCTGCTGGATTACAAGTCACTCCGGCGTCATTTGTCTTCTCCTTCGTTATAAATCCTGCCTTAAAGAGCAAACAACATATTTCTCTGACCCTCCTCTCCTCCCATCCAATCACCTCCATCTCAGCGGCATCTGTACCTTTACTGTGCTCTCACTTGACCACCCCCCCCCCCCCCCACCTCTTTTCTCCATTCTAAATCCTTCAACCCTTACTGACTGAAGTTCTTTCCTCAAGTTGGCGTTTTATCTCTGAGGAAAAGGTGACAGCAAGTAGTACACCATGCTGGAACTGTTTGTTCCCGGTCTCCAAATATAAGCTGAGTAATTAACGGAGGGGCCAGACCACAAGAGCAGACTCAGTGAGCGGGGAGCATCCAACTGTAACTCACTGGGACTGAGATGTTTTTAAAAAATGCAAACAGTTTTGCTAAGCAAGGCAAACTGTGCACTGAGGTGATATTTTAAAAATATCAAAAGAAATGCAGGCAGGTGTTTTTTATTAATATTTGCGAATGCTAGTTTCTGTAGGTACAGGACACAGCAATAAATGACTAGAAAGTCAGACTTTCTTATTTACGGACCTGTACATTGAAACTATTACTTTTTTCATTTATTCAAATGTTTAGCCTTACTTTGACCTTTTAACCCTGAACCTATACAGACTGCAGATTTAGAGCATTTCGGATTCAAATTATGTAGAAAATTCAAAACGAAAATAAATGCATAATACTACTTTATCTTTATAGTTAGCTCCAGTTTCTGTTCCACCCACTGCCTTAAGTAACTCCTGACCCAATGTCCAAAAATGGGTTTTTACTGTCAAATTACCACTTTTCTTTTACCGCCACCTTCATATATTACATAGTGATTTAAAAATTATAACTTACTAAAGTGAACATTGTAATTAAAAACCCAAGTGGGTTCTTATACACATGTGACTTTCCACTAAATAAGAACGGTCAAAGATTGTCTTTGCTCTCTTGACCTCTTTTTTGTGCTTCTTTTATCAATGTAAAACTCACAGCACTTGTCTGGATTCTACAATTATGGCATTGTGTCCATAATGTAAGCACAGGCAAATGTACAGTTTTCAACAAAGCAGCTTCTTGAGATTTTGAAAACTTTTCCTCTCACTCCACAGAGTTAAAAGGACAAAGCAACAACGTAAACAGCAGGATATAAGAGAGATAAAAAGGAGGCACTTCAACAACTTCGAGGCATAAATCCCTTCACGCAGCCACATCCTCGCCCACGGGAAAAGTATTGTACACGACATACGGTATAATGACGATGGGTTAGGAACACTGAACTCTTCTTATCCCAGGGGAGGACGATAACTTGACATGTAGAAAGCGACGGCGCAGGCAGCCTCCCTCGGCCTCATGGGAATTAAGTACCACACCAAAAACAAAAGCAAAAACACTAACAATTCTATGGCTCCTGATCCAGGGCAAAATGTGCCTGTGATTACAGCCGTTATAGTGGAGGCTTCGTATAAATCTGGTCAATGTAAACACTTACAAGTAAAAAAATAAACTGGGATGAAAGTATTAATAACTGCCCCACAGGATTCAGAGATGCAGTGTCTCATGGTTCTGAATAGTTTCTGACATCTGATGTGTGAGATGAGTCATTATTTGTATAGTTACTGGTGTATAAATAACTTCTCATCAGAAAATAGATGAGATATATTTTTGCATGGTTAAGCTGTATTATTAGAATCAATCACATGACCTGATTCTATAAGGTTGCTGGTTGCTTTTGCAGTGTCACAGGAGATGTTGAATACTAAACAGCAGTGACTGACCTCTACCTCTTTATCACCACTGAAAAGATCTGAGCTAGCCTCTTATCTCTCAGCTGTTCACGTAGAGCCGCACAGTGGTCAGCAAATCAAACTGGGGTTGGACTCGGTCTTCTGGTGGATAGCTACAGCTGCTGCTGCTGCTGCTGCTGCTGCTGCTGCACGAGTGTAAACAGCTCAAATCTCATTCGACCACTCACCATCACATGAAGGCGGAGGGCCCTCAAACTCCAAGTGTGTTCCCAGCTTGCAGATCAGGATGCTGTTTCCATTTAACTGGTATCCCGGAAGACATCGGTACCGCACTATATCACCTGTGGTGGGAGGGAGATTAAAGGTGGGGGAAGTAGAAGATGGTGAGGAATCAGAGCTGGTGGCAACAAAGCAAAAATGTCTGGAGAAGGAAAATCGTGATACAGTGTGCGCCTCAGTGACAGAAAGAGAAAAAAAAGCAGCGACGAGGAGTTGCATAATGGATCCCTGCCGGGAGTCGTATAGATGAAACGCTATGTCAGTGTCATTGTCGTGGTGTCTCTGAATGATAATGAGACAGGGAGGTATGCAAATAAACAGATAAGCAGGATTAATCTCCATTTTCTGCTACAGGTGAGAATGAAAGCACCTGCCTCCAACCCTTCGGCTTCTCTGATTTTTTCGATCATTCAATTACACTCGGGTTTTTACTCCACGGGCTCGCACTGGGTGAGACGGTGGCGATTGTTCACGGCAGGAGTGACATGGTGGGATTTGCCTTTACTATGACACCTACCAATTTTGAACTCTTTGCTTGCCATCAGGATCTCTGCATTAGGAATGATGGGTGGAGGGAGGCAGAACTGCAGCCTGTAGGCTATAATGAAACAACAAACACTTAAAGTGAGTCAAACACAGAAATCTACCATCAATAAGAAGGAGCTGATCATTGGTTATTTATAAATACCTTGGTAATTGATGCGAAACAGTCCGCCTTTCTCAGCGTTACTTCTGAAACGTACCAGCACCTGGTTGGACGTGCTGCTCGGGGGTTCGTTGGGCTCCCCATCGGTAAAGACACCCAGTTTCCTGGTAGTCTCCTGTGGACCATCCCTAAAGAAAATGTGTCACTGGTTAGGTATAGGCACAAAATTGAATGTACGTTGGGGACCACTTAGCGGTTGTTAACAGTGAAGCATCTTGAGCTTCACTGTTTCCCACATGAGGAAACCATACAATAAGGAGCCAGATTATTGTCAAGCGGCGTCCAACAGCAGAGTGTAACCAATCTGCTCCCACTTCACACCCAGACCAATTACTTTGGAGGACTTTGTTGAAATAATAGAAAAAATTACTGACAAGCAGGAAATGACAGGTCTGCATTGCATACGTTCTGCTAACTGTCGTCCAATGGGAGTGTCCCAAGTTGTGGCCCAGTCCTGGCAGTCCCTGGCGTGCGCACGGCTGATTAAGCCAGCTCCCAGATTCCTGCCACAACCATTCAGCTTAAAAACCATCTGTCTTTGGCTGTCAGACTGGGCATGGGCGATTACAAGCAGCTCTGGAAACAGCTGGCTAGGGACCGCTGCCTGACAGCACTGCGGCCAAGCTGCCATTACGGGGCCCATTTCCTTGGATCAGTAGTTCAGTAGATAGATACAAAGCAGTGGTAACTGGAAACTGGGGAACGTCATAATCCCCCATCTTGGCTCTACAGGAGCTTGTTTGGAAAAGATCAGCACAGTGAAGGCTGTTTACTGAAGAGCAACAATACATCGAAAATAGATAATGGCCTTTCTTTGCTTCGCTGTCGTGATGTCCTCCTGAGGACGAGGAGAATTCACACCGATTTCTAAAACCTAAGTGTCACCTCATGCCATGTTCACTTTTATAGTGGTCATCCAGGTTGGCCAGCAAACGGGTTTCCGGTCTCACTGAGCACCAGGACCTTTGGAGCTTGTCTGTGAGAGAGGGGATCAACTGGGATTGGCAGCCAGTGTGTATGCAAATCTCCTGTCACACATATGGTAGACCTGGCTAGAGCACTGAAGTGTTGATAAAGGCAAGCTTTTACCCATCAGCCCTCAGACAAGCAAATATAACAGCACATACAGTAAAAAAAAAAAAAAAAAACAAGGTTTAAGGTAGTACCTTTTTGGAATAAAGTTTGAACGGTTGAGTCAAGGAATGGTTCACATTATAGAAACGTTTTCACTTTTCATTCACATTTATTTTTTTTGCCCTTAGTTTTTAGGGTAATAACAGACTTAGATTAAAACCAAAACTAAAGGTGTTATAATTTTAAAAAGTGAAAAATTCAAAAAATTAATTAAATTATTAAGTATTGTAATAATGAGAATGAAATAATAATTAAAATTATTATTATTATTATTATTATTGAATGATTATGGGTGTTTGACATTAATTAATTCGTTATTAATAAAGTAACTGTACTAGTATGATTACCAAATTAATTTAATAACTACACAACATTGATTTTTTTAATTAAATGCAAATAATTACCAAAAAAATAAAGCAAATGTTCCTACTAGGAACGTAGTATCTCCACACAAATCCACAGAAAACAAAAGTTGTTTTTTTTTACTAAATATACAGCACGTTTCATTGTAAAAGTTTTCAAAAATCTCAAGTACGTAAGATTGGTACAGAAATTACTTACCAAACAGAGATAAAGTCATGAGGGCCATGAACCTGGAGGAGGGTGAAGTTGAGTTTAATCCCAAAGCCATGTGATACGGTGATCAGCCAGGAGCAGTCTGCCGAATTTGGATACTCCTCTGGGTAACCCGGGGAGAAGATGGTCCCATTGTCAGACGTGATGTTTCCGCCGCAGGGCACTGATGGAGGTGAGGAGATGCAGTTTTTATGTTCATTCAGTATAAGTACTGTATGTACTGAACAAATACGTAAATTAGCAGCAAATCAAGGCAGAACTGTGACTGTTCTAAAATATCCTACATTTTTATATTTTACTTCTTAGAGTCCTCTCTCTCTCTCTGTCTCTCTCGCTCTTTCTCTTTGTTTAGTGCCCGGTGCTTGTCTGAGCGAAAGATTAGCCACCAGAGCTTGTTAGTAAGTGGGGATTCGACAGAGTGTTTCACCAAGATAAGGCCTCAGTCCTTTCCCACTGGTGGTAAGTGTGCAGAGATGAAACAAACACAGTGTGTTCTCATATGTCGGAGCAAGGTCGTTTGTTAACAATTTACTGTTCACGTCAGACCAATAAAGAGCACGGGTTTTAAAAACCCCTGTAAACCCTGTACTAGACGTCCATGTCTAAACTGACAACATCTGACCGTTTACACTTCTTCAACCAAACTCCCCGATACTGATCCTGAGTATCGAATCGAGTCATGCCTTGATGTGATAGATGCTGTAGATGCCTCTGGGTTAAGGAGAACTCTTAAAACTCACCAGGCATGTTCTCTCCGTGTGTCAATTTGCTCAACCGTGTGTCTGTAACTCAGCTGCCAGTAGCTCTGTAGAGTAGTTGCTACACCTGTTAATTGAGCCATTGATCGGACTGATTGATTAAACCTTTCAGCTCCCTGTGGAGTTGAGTGATGCCCTCAACAAGTGAGATACATAAACCTGATGGTTAGAGGACAGAAATTGCCTGAGGAAGCAATAAGACGGAAAACTTTTGTGACTGCTGGAATTGTTTGGAAAAAATACAGATGCTTGTGGGGGGGAAAACTCCTGACCTTTCATATATTAAAATTCTATTTTATACTTCTAATATTGCAGGAAGGTTATGTTTTTTTCAGGAGGGCTCTGGCAGCTCTGCAGAGAGAAAGTGCTGCAGGGAGAGAGGTGATTTCCTACCGCTGCTTTCCTACTTGTACGTTTCTTCTCTCACTCCCACTTATCTACCTTCTTGCACATTCAACGGACCATTGTCATGGCCGTCGCCTCCCTGTGTAATTTCACCCGCCTGATTGAATGAATGACAGCTAGCGCTTGAGAATGTGGGTCAAGGACGAGGCAAAACAAAAAGCATCCTTGACTTTGCTTTCCAACCTGGGCTCCATTTGAATAATCTTTTATTTGTCTTCTTTTCTTTTCTAGCGCTGCATTGATTTTCCTCCAGTTGTGTGCCTCATTAATGGACGTAATAAGTAACATTAATTGCATTATTCACAAAAGATAATCATTATATCCATGGCTGCACTTCACGCTAATGACGCGATAGCTCAACGTGTCCAGGAGCAGGAAGCTATATCCCTGGTCAGTTCAGTCCTGCAGTTGCCAGGCGGTTCACTCAGCCACTTGCTTGTGTTCGAGGTTTCAGGTTGTTAGCACCAAACCCTCGTTCTTTACCTTCACAGCGAGGGAACGGATAATCCCAGTTGCGTGTGGTGCCATGCTCGCAGGTGAGGATGGAATGTCCCATTAGCTGGTATCCAGGCAGACACTCGAAGGAGATGGATTGGCCCACGTTGTAGCCGGCGCCCACCACCACCCCGTAGTGAAAGGGCTCGGGATCGGGGCACTCCTGTAGCTCGTACGCTGCAAGGAGGAAAGAATCAGTGATGACTTTGCCAGTGATGCTGACGATACTTTTATTCATGAATTGGAAAACACAGGATGTCTGTTGCACAATTATGACAATTAGAACATTTCATTACTGTGTAAATACATGACTGAAGGCAATAGCCTTGTGTCGTCCTCCTTTATAAGACAGTGAATTTTTCCTCAATTCTCTTCATCACGGTTCTGTTGCGTTTCTTTTCTCCTTCCCCACACCTCATCCTCCCACACATCCTTCGCTTTCTCAGAGAAGAAAAATGAGCCGAATACAGCTCTGACTTGTGCTGGAGGAGCAGGGCGATGCGGTATTATCAGACAAAGCACAGGTAAATTATTTTTTTTACCCTTTTCTCCATTAGACGCGGAGGCAGAGCAGGCAGCGAGCCTCGAAGAAGCGAGATAAAAATACAACTGAAGAAAATCATATCGGTACATCAAAGCATTTCTTCATCACCGTCAGAGATGGCTTGAGCAAACCCAAATTTAAATATGCAAAAGGACGTGTTCATATATAAGTATACCACTAAATATATATGCTAATAAACCAATAACTCTGTAATTTCACGATACTAACATGCAATTGACCAATTTGTTTGTTGGATCACAAATATATATTTTGCATTTGTGGATTAGCAATTTACTCCTTGGATGGATATGCACTGATGCTTTTTACTGGCTCACAGGGGAGCACTGTTTTAAAGGATCAACATTTTATACATTTATATATTTATGGATGTTGGGGGAAGTATGGGCAGTGTGAGCTGATTAGATTCACACAGTTGATTCCTGGGCTAACTCACCAATAAAACAGCAGAGTTAAAAAATACATAGAGTGAACATTACGGGTAAAAAAGTTGACACGAATGAGAATTATAAAAAGTTAGGCTTTTTAAATGTGAGTGCTGAGGTAATCGTTTTAATTAGTGAATTTGTACCAAAATAGAGAAAGAAAAAATTGCTATCATAAAAATGTTGGCATCGTGCTACACTTGTAAACAACCAAGTAATTTAATAATTAACAAAAAAAGCTATTAAAATAAAATAAAATAAATGTCCTCAAGGATACAATTTAACAACTATGATGTGTATTCATGGTCCAGATGTTGTCCAGACTGGAAGTGGCCCTCGAGCCACGAGTTTGATACACCCTGCTTTAGTCTTGGTAAATGAGGTTTTGATAAGGTATAAAGTTTGGCTTCTCACCGTGGTACTCAAACCTAAAACCAGGTTTGTTCTGTGAGTGGTCACTGTGGAAATACACGGTGGTCTCGTGGGAGGTCGTGAGGAGAGAGGTGGGAACGTGCTGACCACTGAACCGCCCGATCACTGCACTCGTGTCAAGGGGCCCATTGCGAATCTCGAGGAAATCGTGGTTGGCCTCAGTGGAAAAGTTGAGGAACTGAACGTGGGCTCCTGATGCAAAGATAATAATAGATAAAATAGATAATAAAACATAAAGCCCACGTCTTGTCACAAACAGTCTGAACCTCTCCCCATCTACCAATGCAGCAATGTAAAAGGGTGAAGAGACTCTTCAGATGCTCACCGTAACCAACCGGCAGGTAGATTCTCCAGGTGCAGTCACTGTTGCTAGGGTAGTTCCCAGGGAAACCGGGACTCAGGATCATGCCTTCCATCTCCTCGTGGATTCCACCACATTGCGCTGAAAAAAAAAGGGCAAACAAAGCTTTTAATAATGGTCATCAAACATTAATTCATACAGATTTAGTGATTTGGTTTCACAGAGACGTCTGGTTTCAGCTGTTGGTTTTGTCGTTGAGGACGAATTGAGCTGCTACAGAGCCTGTTCAAATACCATTTCACTAAATAACCGGACAGTTAATTAATATTAGATGAAAAAGGGGCGATAAATGGATAAAGAACACTGAAAAATATAGAGAAAGAAAAAAAAAAAAAATTCCAAATAATACAATGAGCAGAAACAAGTTCATAAGTATAAGGTAAGTGACTAAGAGAGAAGATTAATAAACCAACCAGACAAAGGAGATACCAGAGAAAACCATGGAGAACGTACTATTGTGTTTTCTGTAAGTAATAAACGAGGGGTTAAATGTTACCCTGTAGCAGCAGAAAAGGCCTGAGGTAATCAGGAAACTGCTGATGCCCGTGAACACAATGAATCTTCCCTTGTCTTAACCAATCACAGTCTGGAATGAAACTAATTAGGCTATAGTAGGTTGCTCCAATAAGTGCAGCCAGTTTGTCAAAGAGAAGACACGCACACACACGCACACACACACACACAGACACACACACACTCACTGGCAGGATAGTAAGAGACCTTAAACAGTTCATTTAGCTCTCAGAGAAAGTCGGGTTTTTTTTCTCCTAAAAATCAAACTGTGATCATTTCGACACGGCATCATCATGTATCATATGTTTTATGCTAATACAATGGCATTAATATTTCAGTGTGCATAGAATAGAGGTTAAAGAGAGGGGAAGAAGTAAATGTACCGATGCAGAGAGGAGGCGGGTAGTTCCATCTTCGAACAGTTCCGGGCATACAGGTGATATGTGACTTTCCCTGGATTACATCAGCACAAGGACAGAAAAAAAAACAAAGACACCAATTAATGTATTACTGTTCTCTCCGGCCACTGTCTCTAATTCAACGCTCTGATTATGTCAGCTGGACAAAGGTCTCTTCGTAAACATAGTAAATAAATTAACTGTCAAAATAAAAGAAGTGATGGCAGTATCGATTCTGTGGTATTGATATAAGCATATTCACATGAGTATCGATTGAGTATCAATACTACTTAGAACATGTGTCACTTTGCCATCTTTTAAACCTAAACTTTTAAGGTCACATTGCGTTACAATTCAGTAATGTATTTGTTATGATTCATTTGATATGACAATACATATTTAAGTTGGGAATTGGCCAGTATTTGTCATGTGTTTTATTGGGGTAAAAAACAAAATGAAAAAAAAAAAAAGCCAAAAAAGTAATCAGTATCATATCAAATCAAAAGATCTGGTGTGAATCTCACTAACGACAAGTTAATAGGTGGAAACTAAGTGAAAAAGTCTTCTCTAATCTGCAAGTATTATACTGTAATGTCTGTTAACTTGGTTTATTTACTCTTTTCGAGTTGGATTTTATTTAGGATGCATTAGTAAAAAAAAAAAGTAAAAGTTATGTGATGCATACAGACGTGTATTGGCGTTTAATTACTAATTTCACCTATCTGTAATGAAGATCAATATTATTAAATGCCCTGCCATGATAGCAGATCATTACGTCTAGAAACCATTACTCTGAATCCAAAATGGTATTATGGCTGCTGGACAAGTATCTATTACCATAGTAAAATGCAGAGAGAAACAGCTGTGAAAAAGGGCTGATGTAAAATAAACTTGGCGTTTCAACACGGGGACAGGCTGTGAGCACTGATGGGAACACACAGTTCTGATAGACTTTGTAATGTGGAAATGGAAAGGGGGACGTTAAAGTAGGATTTGTGTGAAGTGCTGCATCCAACGTGTTCCCCAGATGTCACCATCTGTCTCCTGCAGCCCAAATGATGACAGCGGAAGCAGCCGAGGATGCGCAGGGCTCCGTCAATTTTGGAAGCCCAGCCGAATTCAGACGTTGCTGAACACCGACGCTGCATCCTACACATGTTAACTGACATAAGGTGGCTACAACTCGCAAATCTCTAGATGGCTTTTTTTTTTAACTGTTTGGGAAGTTTAGGGTGGTGAAGTGATGCAGTGATGAATCCTGGGGTGGCTGATGAAGATAAATCACAGTAAATCTTCACTAAACCTTAGCCACAGGGATACTTTTTCACAAAAAACACACAGAAAAGATCAGCATATATTCCTTTTACGTTTGCTGAAGCAGGATTATTCAAATGCATTTTTCAAATGTGTTTACAATGATTTCAACACATCAGAGGATTAGGTTCACAGAAGCTGAAGAAACAGCACCAACAACTGAATAAACATCTGTATGGAGAGTTAGGTATGACTCATCTATTTCAGCCTGTTTGCTACTTTATTATATTATGACTAGAGAAAGATGGCGACAGTAATAAAAGGTAGAGACGTTTCGGTATCAGCGTTGTCAATCGTGCGTGAGATGTGCAGGTGTGAGTATCACCTGTAGAGTATATCCAGGTTCACACTGGAAGGACACCACATTATTCATCTGGAGGCGTTCGCCCACTTTAATGCCATTCATTGGAACCACAGGCTCTGGACAGCTGGTCAGAGTCACAGCTGCAGAGATAAAAAAGGAAATAAAGAAAAAAAAAAGTTTGCACTAAATATCAGAAATGATAATGAAAAAAAAAACTGTGGAGAACAAACAGTCCTTCCCTGGGGGTGTTTTTATAAACTGTGAAGGAATGTTTTTTTTTTTTTGGTGTTGTTTTTTTTCACTTACTTTTGTATTCCAGTCTGAATCCTGCTGCAGAAACGCTAATATCAGAGAAAAAGTGGAGGTACAGTTGGTTGGAGGTGCTGTTAAGAAGTGCTGGAACGGTGGTGCCTTGGGGACAAGATTAATAGTTGAGTTTAGTAATTGCTTCTACTGCATCGGCCAACTATAAGGAAGTGCACAAGCTATGGGCAAACGACTAAAAATAATGTGCTTTTTTTATGTGCCTGGGGCAAAGCAGACGTAAGTGTGTGTGTGCCTGTGCATCTGCATTAATGATTCTGCATAAGTGTTTTAGGATTGGTTTCTAGACATAATTTTTACTTCTACAAATAAACGGTTTAAACAATAAAAGCACCATCCCTCAGTTAAGTCCTTTTTTAATCATCTGTCCTTTGACTATCGTCAGAGCAACGCTACTCTTCCCTGTTTTCCTTTTCTTCTACAGGTACCACAAAAACACACACAGTTCAACTCTAGGCAGAAACTGTGTCAAACCTCTGGCCCATGGTGCCACTTATGGCCCACAAATGTTCAAAATGTGGCCTGCTACTAGATGTCAATAATGGCTTTATTTCAAGGTTTTATCAGATGTGGTATATGGCTTTTCAAAAGGTGTTTTAAGCCCAACATTAATATTCAGACAAACAAATGGAAACACAGCAGTACCAGAGAAGCTGCCGAGCATGGTGTCTGTGTTGTCTCCTCCATCGAAAACTTCCAGTGAATCCCAGTTCTGCTCCGTCACAAAGCTGATTACCTGGATCTGAGAAACAGAAAGGAAAAATAATGAGAGATGGAGAAAAAGCTCAATTAATGAAAATTGGAACAAAAAGTGAAAAAATGAAAGAAAAAAAGACCATAATCAAGGGATATGGATTTCATGAAAAATAAGTTCTCTTAGATAAAGACCATGAATATGGAAGGAAATTGAAAAGGGTGTAAGAGTTCAACCTATTACTATGGGAAACAGAAATGAAGCAATGGCTTTTTAAAACCCCACTGCTGAGAACTTTGCATTTAATAAATATTAATTTTTTAATTTTATTAATTTTTTTAATATTAATTAATAGCTGAGAACTTTGCATTTAATAAATATTTTATGTATTTTTAATCTCATTACGAAGTCTACAGCCTTGCTTAATTTATACTTATAATGTAATCACTTGTACATACATACTTGTACTTTTACATTTACTGTCTTTAATGAAGCCCTAAATGAAAACAGAAAATGTTAAATGCTTATCAAGTACTGTCTTTCAGGATTAGTAAAATGTAAACAACCATAAACTTTTTTTTTTTACATTTGGTGCTTTAATGATGAATCACAGCTGCTGTTGAACATGGGTTCCTCTCTGAGGTTAAACCTCTCTCACTCTACAGGTGTCCCTAGGCTTTGCTCTCTGCTCATTCTCACCTCCATTTCTTTAGCCTCTCATTGTTACTACAGACATGTGAGGACGGTAACAAAATGGATATGAGCCAATTAGGTGGGTAGTCGGAGCTGCGGTACATCCTGGGGAGATGAGGCAGATCTTAGTTTGATCTTTTCCTCGTTCCTCCTCCAAGCTCTCCTCCGGATCGTGACACTTTTATCTAATGGGTCACCTAGCTGGTAGAAGTGGGACAAGACTGGAGGAGCGCGCAAAGAGACGGGATGAAGGTGTCAAACAGATGAGGTGGCGTGGGGGCTGGAACCCTGGAGCTTTATGGACAAAAACGTGAAGACGCTCGAGGTTTCACACATTGTACATGTTGCATTTCCCCAAATAGAACTCAACTGTCAGATATATTACTTTCTTCACCACTGTCAGTCTGATGTTTACGCACTTTTACTCCGTTAGCATTCGGCAGGGTGCGCTCACGCTTTGATTTCAGTTTGTATCCCTCTTCCATGTCAGCTCCAATCTGTCGCTGAGTGCGTTGTGCAGCATGCTAAGCGTTCCTGTGGGCTGCTTCGCGTATTTGACCTGCAAGGACAGTCGGCTAAGGTGGAGGAGCTAATAGCCGAGGGGCGGCACTTGGGTCATTAGCCACAGAGGCTGAAGCATAAGCCCAAAACCTCTCTGTCAGACCGGTCTGCGGGGAGCTAACCCACAGATTTCCCATGCAGTTCCATCAAACATGCATCAAAGAAGAGGGAAATGCAAACTAAATGAAGTCTCATGACGAGAAAATGTGAAGTGATTCAAGCAGCGGTTATACACATTTATTTTAAGGTCTAAAATCCGACGTCATGGTATAGCGAGCTGCAAAATTAAGTTCCGTGCTGGTATAGAACATTTAAACTTGACATACTACAAGTAACTTTGGTAATTAGTTGGTGTAGTGGTTTTTAAAGACCATAGAGTGCTATCATATCTCATCACACTGAAACTACTATCTCCTCTTAGTCATATTTTTTAAAGGCATTATTTTACATTAAAGTAAATGGACATTTTTATCATTCATTCATTAAATCATTCATCTACTGCTTCATTTTTTCCTAGGTTGATTCAGCTAATCCTAGCAGCCACTGGACATAATTCACCAATCCATCCTTGGGCAACATATAAAGACAAACACCCATTCACACCTGTGATAAAAAATGACCTTTAAACTAATCCTCAATCTAGTTATTTCTGGACTAGGAACTAGAATAACATAACTGTCTGTTTGGTTTATAGTGTAGACCATGTGGCGGAAATATAAGGTCATACCAACCTGTATTCCTGACCCTTCAGGAACAGTGATTTTCCACACGCAGTTGAGGCTGTTGAGGTACGGCTCAGGGAAACCCGGTGACAAGATGGTTCCAGTGCGATGGGTCAGATTTCCTCCACATGGCACTGAAGACAAAAGTCAGTCAAGTGAGAGATCACATCAATAAAAAATTAATTTCCAATCCGTGCAGACAGCCAATGAGAATCATGTGTGTTTTCACTGGCTAATGTATATTTGTTAGACCACTACCAGGTCACCACCAATCTAGGATTCTTATTGTTGCATATTGGTATGTGAAAAAATTGCTTCTGTAAATGACTTGAATAATGGACTATTAAGCGCAGCCATTCAACGTTCAACATCTAAAACACACATTTGTTATCTGTCACATTACATTTGTTTGATAGCTGTCGTGTGTAGGGATTGCCATTAGACATGTAGACACCATCATTGTACAATATGACATTGTCATTCAGTCAGTCCAGACCACCTTGATCCAGTTTGAACAAATATTTTGGCAGTAAGAAAATACTTACCATCTTTCATTTATTTTTAGATAATATTTGACTGTCCTTATGGGTGACTCTAATGTTCTCCTACTGGGCTGCACACTAGAAAATGTTTAACTATGCAAATTAAATCCCAATCAATATTGGAATGCACCCCATGGCTACACACCAGGTGAGCAAAAATATCTATATTCATAATTTATCACCTTTCATTGTCATTACCTCCGGTAACCCCCGGTCCACCTGGCACAAACGTGCACAGGAATTATCCCTGAACTCTGTTTTTCCAGCTTGCCCCGCTCATTAACACATCTGTTGACAAAGTGGGAGCATCTGTTGCATCTACATGCCGCACATTAAGGACCGGCGCGTGGCTCTTTATGTACATGTGGTTGTCACCGTATTTATCAGGATTGCATCTGTGTGTATTTAGTGACCTGCAGTGGTTCCTGATACTTGAGAGCTGTGGAACTGTGGCTAGAGGCTGCTGTGCCATGTAAAATGAGATTGTTTGCTATCGAAACATTAATCGTCAGAAATAAGACACTGACGACAAGAACTGTCTTAAAAGTCAATAACAATGTGTTAAAAACACCTTGAGTGTCCTTTACCCACCTATACAGCTGGGTATAGAACTGTTCCACTGTGCCAGGGCGTTTGGGACCGTTAAACATTCAATAGCACTCGACCCCTCCAGCACATAACCCGGGCTGCACTCGAAGCGAATCACAGCGCCCGCTGCAAAGTTGTTACCCATTCGACGGCCGTTACGAGGCTCAGGGACCGAGCTGCACTGAGTTGCACTGGTCCGGGGCACGGCTTGGGAAGGAAAGAAGGAACAGAGAAATGGATGGATGGATGGATGGATGGATAGATATATATATAGATAGAGAGAGAGAGAGAGAGAGAGAGAGAGAGAGAGAGAGAGAGAGAGAGAAAATGGTTTAATTGCAGTTAATAAAAAAAAAGTGACCACAGATTCCATTTCTATTAAAAATGTCCCTCCTGGGAGTACAGATGACACCCGGGTTAAGCTGACGTCATTAATAATCTACTACAGTCATACAGTGACAAGACTCCTGCACTAAAACCCACACGAGCAGCAGAGTTGAGACGTCTGTGTGCCTCTCAGGACACGGGGTTTACCAATAACAAGGTGACATGGATTTGTTTTCCTTTTTCACACGCTTACCTTGGTAGACCAAGTGGAATCCTCTGGAGCTGGTCTGGCCTTTGGAGGTGAAGCGGATCAGAATTTGATTGGAGGTTGCCAGTGGCAACGACTCACCTGAGATTGGAGTAAAGTGAGAGACAAGGTTCGTAAACAAAGGGCTGCCTTCGGTTTCTGTTTGTTCACCGCAGCCTCTCTGTTGCACGCGGTATAACAAACACGATGAAAAATGAATTCTAGAAAAGAAGGTCTCTGGGGTCACCAGTGTCAAAATGGGGTCACAAGTCAAGAATAGGTTGGAAATCACTGCAATATACCACAGCCAGGCAGGTGGGATTAACCTGCCTTTAAATGAGGAAAAAAAAAAAAAAGTACATTTTGTTTAAGTTCTTCCACAGGTTCCCATAGGCATGCTGGGTAATGTAATAGAAGAAGCCCACGCTGCTTGGGGTGTCATAATGAGAGTGTTTCATAATGTCAAATATTCATTGCGACATATCAAACGTGTGTCAGCATGTTACTTATCGCCCCCTCTGGCGACACTCCAGATCCATACAGAACTTTGCCCCTTCGACAACCCTCTACCCAGGCATATGAATGACTTACAAGGGCACATTGGAAGTCGGTCTTCAAAATGCAGTAACAGTTGTGTGATGACTCAGAAACAGCAGTCGTACAGAAACGTGTAAGTGATTATGGCTCAGGCTGTAAAAATCACAGTTTAAAGACCTGCGCACGCCAGATGTGTTTTTCCGGGCAATTTGTTTGCACATTAATAACATTTTTCCAACAGTACTCGGAGCAGCTTTGGTATCACTAATAGGATTTCATCAAATAATACCGCAGATCCTTATTTCTGTGATACTTTTTTTTTTTACTGGATCGTTCCGTCTCAAACACTCTGTATTACTTTTACCTCCACCCACCAGTTTAAAGGTTCAGAGGCTCAGCCTATCTGCAGTCCTTAATTTTTAGTATTCAAAAAATAATTATGCCTTTTGCATTTATTCTGCGGCTCAAAATTAAGTTAGCAAATGCTCATTAGCATCGAAAGTGATCAAATTAGAATTCGGTTTAGATAAGAAAAGACTCTGCAGTCACAGTTGATGACCAAGACAGTGACAAACCTCAGTTTGAATCCATTAAAATATTAGCATTTAGATAAGACTCCTTCGTCTCTTAAATTTGTCCTTGGACACAGTTGGCATGCAAACTGTCTACTTTTGCAAATCGTACCATTCTGCAATGGTGACTTATTATTTAGTATTTGGTCTATTTTTTTATGGATTTTTACACAAGGAATGTGTTTTGACAAATGTGGCTCAGTGGTAATTACTATGTCGGAATAATGGAATAAGACTTTGTTAATACATTTATGAGAAATGGCAACACAACCACGAAACGCCACAGGTCAAAGATGTCGTTAACAGAGGAGCCCCGGTATAATATTTTGTCAGCCTGGTAATTTCCCTGTGCTATCAGTTAGCACATTGTATGTTTAGCTGTAGATGCATGCGTGCATCCTGGGTTTATATTAATCATTCTTTTTCTACCTACTGCTGCACTGGTCCCTATGTACAGTATGTTGGCTCGAAGTGTCTCTTCTCCTCCCAGAGTGTGACTGTTGTGCTATGCCATGGCTGGTTAGAGAGCTCTGTGAACCTGCTGCCAGAACTCCTCAGTTAATACAGCATTCTGTTTATTGAGCTGTAAATTGGGTTTTCTGAGATTGCCCTGGATACGGACCAAAGTAATCATTTTGCTTTTGACAAAGCACAGGCTTTGGAGCAGGCTGGCAAAAGGGAGTTGTCGCAAAGTCACACGCATCACACACTTTTCGAACAGACATTAATGTGCCGGCATTGTTTAATGCAGTGGCCAAAGTTGTTACATGTATATTTCTGAGATTAATAAACTTGACTTGGATGATGACTTTGAATCATTTAGAAAATTGCTCTGTGCAGCATCTTTAACCCTTCGCTATTGATGGCAGTGTTTGCTCCTCCATCAGCATATACAATTTTGAATGTTTTATTTGCATAATAAAGGATGAGAAAAACAAAGATGTAATTCTCGCAAATTCAATGTGCTTGGTTGAGGAAAACTAGATGTTGTCTCGTATCACGAGAAAAATCTCGCAAAAGTTGCTCACTAGTAACTTGGAAAACTCGTATTTCGGGGAGCTCGTATTGATTTTTGTTTCATTTTATTTGAGTGTCCAGCACCCAAGGTGTCTGTCCAAAAAAAAATTCTGACTCTCAGACAAATATACTTAGTGACCCTTGGTTTAGGTTGTCTCTAACGCAGGTCATTTTGATCAAAGTGTGATCCCCCACATTAATACCTGGACCAACCTAGGTGTTAACCCCTCTTTCACACATTGACCCAGGTGAATACCATATCCTGTCAGTGACTGGGGGAGTGTCCAGCACCCAAGGTGTCTGTCCAAAAAAAAATTCTGACTCTCAGACAAATATACTTAGTGACCCTTGGTTTAGGTTGTCTCTAACGCAGGTCATTTTGATCAAAGTGTGATCCCCCACATTAATACCTGGACCAACCTAGGTGTTAACCCCTCTTTCACACATTGACCCAGGTGAATACCATATCCATCAGTGACTGGGGGCATGTAAACCTGCTTTGGTTTTTTTTTTGTTTTTTATTTGAGCCGCTCAGAGACTGAACACCAGGATTTTCCAGCAGTCGGTGAGATCTGAGAGAGCTATTTGGACGAGACAGAAGAAACCAAAATAGTCCCGTTGCCTGTTTCGGAACTTTCTAGAGATTACGTTTGAATGTTGTTTTCCAGTTTATGTCAACGGACTGATGGTCTACTGTCATGACATCTTTTGTTGATTTATGTTGAATCTGAGAAGTTTACTAAGCGAAATTGTAGCACGTGCTGTTGTTTTAATGCTCATTTGTTGGTTCCTTGGCTGTAACTTCTTATTTGTAAAAGTCACTGCACAACACTGCCTCACGCTGCTGCTTTCATGAATTAATTATTTCCACTGATGGGCAAGGGAGATTTCTTAGCAGCGTTATAACCGACATCTTAACAGTCAACACACACACTAGGAAACATTTTTAATTATTTGTTTCTGTTGTTATTCTTTCACTCTCTCCTGATGACAGTGTGTTGTTTCAACACAATCCAACACATAATGCGACAAACTCCTGAGAATATTTAAAATAATTACATTAAAAGTAACCGTGATGCTTTAAGTTCACATTTGACTGGTTATATAGCTCCACACAGTGGACTGGACTGGTGAAATTGAACATCCTCTCCTGTTGTCTGTGTCTGACCATAATCATAGGTGTTTGCGAAAGGCATCGTCTCCGATGGCTCCAACTCTGTACAGCATTGTTTCCACTGTGTGATTATTTCATAGCTCAGTGGAGCTCACCTGCAGCCACAGTGGGTCTGCACGAGTCAGCGGTTCGCCGCCAACGTTTAACTGGATCTTTACGAGAGGCATAAGGCGAAAGCAACATTTTTTTTAGTCACATGTCATGTCGCAAGCAATGGCCGGGAGATCAACGTATCAAAATGCCATTTGCTTATTTACTACACGCCGCTATTTAAGATGAAATAAAAGTCGTGCATGCATGGGATTGTTAAGTACCTGTATGAGCTCCAGACAGGGAGCTGAGAACGCGGGAGTGCTGAGTGGCTCCGTCATAAACCTCCACGATGTCGTTCAGAGCCGTCTGGAAGAAGGCGAACTGACTGAAGACCACTAGAAAGGACAGACAGCCACGAAATAATCAGGAGAAATAGGTGGCATTGAAAAGCTATCCATTTAAAAAAAAAATAACACAGAAAAGCCATTCTTTATAGTGCTGATAAAATCTTGACCAGCAACAGCACAGAAATGTCCATTTTAAAGCAAAGTGGCTGAGATAATACGACTTGATCCTGATACTACGCAGGCAGCTCAACCATCTTGTCTGTGAATGATCACTTGTCAGTAAGTGAAAAGATTTTGATACTGCGAGTCCGTTGTACAATGAGCAGTCAGCGCTCTATTTGGGTGCTTTTATCCTTTTAAAACCACTTTTAAATTGCTTTTTGCCTGGATGTTTGCAGCCCTTTCATTTTTCTATCTGCGTCCTCTTTCTTTACCCAATAAGAATGAATGGAGGAGGTCTGAAAGAGGGGATGAGGCAGACATGTCTGAGAGTTTTCCTTTAACTATGATGGCAGGGCTGCATCTTTATATTTTATTTTGTTCATCATAAATCAAAAAATGTAAAAGGACAAAAAGTGGCTTTTGTGCCACCTATAGGTCATTCTCCAGACAAATGCAACTGAGAGATTATTTTAACCCCCTCTGACTTTGGCTTCAAGTGATATAATATCCTCCTGGCACGAATTGTGGAGACAAAGATGGGGAGGAGTGTCTGTTCATTCTGGAACAAAGCCAGGGCCTGGGAATGGGCATCATGACCTCATCATTTGAAAGATTGGAAAGGAGGACTTCACATGCCATCGACTGCTGGCTTGTATAATGTCGCAGTAAAAGGAAATGAGCTTCCCTTTAGGTGAGAGTACGAGAAGGAGCCATTGGAGAGATGGATAAGAAAAGGTGGATCCAGACACGATTCAAGTCACCGAGCCAATTCGCACTTTCACATTGTTTTGTTTTGTAAATAACCTGCTGCTCCCGTGGTATCACATCACATATTGCAGGAAATCTGTGACCTTTAGGATGAAAATGCCAAACAGTCAAAAGAACTCCAGGAACTGTCTTGCAGACACCAATTATTTCTGGTGCGGGTGCATGTGTGCCAGTTCATTTTGTGCCCGATATGCAAGAGAGTAGTTTTAAGAGCTTATGCGGCATCAAACTCTCGGCAGAGCAATTAAATGAGTTGTAAAACTCACTGTGACTCTGGGTAGGAAAAATCCAATGCATTTGGTATCAGAATGTTAAAGACATCTGCAAGTTTAGCTGAACACTTGTCAGATTTTTGTGTTCATGTTTGCCTGGATTTTACCCATTCTCCTTGGATTTATGTTTGGAATGCTTTCATTCAGAAGTTAAAAATTGAGAACAGGGAACAGAACTGAATCACATATCGACTGATGACACACAATAACTGATATATTTAAAGACAATACAAAATGTCTGGAATTCCAGGGCTGTAATGCTCTTTTCTGACTTACCATAATCCTTGGGCACAACCACAGAATACAAGCACGTGCGCGCACTGCTGTAGTTTCCAGGATATCCAGGAGACAGGACCACACCTTCCAGACCTGAATACTGTCCTCCACATGGCGCTGGAGACAAAGGAGAACGAGGCAAACTTTAAAGCCGTGTGTGTAAGATTCCATTTCACCTTCAGCTTCTGTTTTCCAGCACCTCCATTCCGTCACTCCTAAATTACTTTTCTGGTCTGATTGGACTTCGGGTAGAACAAGTCCCTGGTGTTTGTCGCAGTGAAATTGCAATGTTTTCCAAGTGTCTCTCAGGGTTAGCCTGGATGCACTGAGGGCCCCGAATGTCCTCACCTGCTCAAAGCCTATAAATATATTCTGCACGGTCTCGTATAATTGTGGCAGACTATTAAAACTATGTGTTTGGTTTGTGCCTGCGTGCAGGGATTAGCATACGAGCAGGTACTCCGTACACACATCCTCGCACCTTAATGGCAGGTGTGGTTACTGGGGATGTTAAACGTTTTTATAGCAGTTATTGTGACGCTGTCATGGGGTTGTAATAACAGACAGGATGACGCAGATTCTGATGCAGGAGTGTGAGGAGTGGTCTCTAAACTGTCTGTTAAACACACAGCCACAGCCTCACTATCTATTAATATCACCCAAACCCACAGAGATGCACACATATACCTGTAGGACAGACATCTGTAAACAAGTCAAACATACATGTTAACATGTTATAAATGCATAAGCACTGGTGTGGGCTGAGCCGGTGTTTACCGATGCAAATGGGCCTGGGTTTGTTCCAGTTTGGCTTGCCGTCTCGCCCCATGATGCAAGTGAGGGTTGAGTCTCCCTCTAGTGTGTAGCCACTGTCACAGTGGTACGTGACAGTGGAGCCCAGCTTGAGGTCGGCGCCCGTCCGTGTCCCGTTGCGCAACAGGCCCGGCTCAAAGCAAGACTCCCTGGGGTTCTCTGAGAAGAGAGATAACACGGTGGAAAATAAGCGATAGAAGGAAGCACTTGGTGTAAATACAGGGATGTGGGGGGGCGTTTTCTGCATAAAGCCACTGCAGTGTTCCTAGAATAGAACTGTAGTAGTAATCACTCCAGAGAGTGTGAAGATGCCAGTTTTCCTTCACCCACCCCACTCCTCTTCCCCCCTCTAATTCTGTGCTTCCGTATTTCTGTAAATATATCTCATGAACTGCCACTTTTCTCACTAATCCTTGACACTGCCCTCACATCTGTGGCGGTCGGAGGTGGGTATGGCTGTGGAGACAGACAGGCGGCTGATTGAGAGTGCCATTGCTCTGGCCCAAGGTCTGCTGACTACACACAAGGGCTTACCATACAACCCTTCAATCTGCAGTGAACTGGAAGAAAACAACACGTATTCTATAAGTAAGCCTCCGCTCCGTCTCTCCAACACCTACACGCACAAAAGAATACGATTTTATCCAATTACAAGACATTTCAGGTGACCCTATTTAAATCCAAGGTGACCCATGTGGGGTAGTGACCACAGGGGAGAAAAATGTTGACCTACATGGACTAGGATGTACAATATATTAACAGTCCTAAAGCATATATTTGTAAAATATACTTGAGTATCAACACACATATTTGTCTTTGTATTTAAATGTGGCCCAGGTACCATACCATTGACATGTTTTCTGTTCAGACATGGTCAGCGACACAAAAACATAACAACCGCTCGGTTCTTAGGCTGACAGTGCCCGGGGCAGATTCTCTAATGCATTTTTCAGTGGCAGGCTGACCAAACAGTAGCGGCGCCAACTTCTCAACTTGCTGTTTCCACACCAAACAAATGCCAACCCGCAGCCAAACACGTTTTTTTTAATGTTGTTTGTCTGAAACTGAGGAGGTAATTTATGTATTATTTGGTTATGGTTCATTAGTGTGGAGAATTGAAAGTCGACAGTGGGAGATTTTTTTTCTGAGCGACACACTGGGTCCATCTGCTCCACCAGATTGGCCGTACAGTATCACACAGTGGAGTAATTATTGATCTAAGTCAGTTAAGCGGTAGTTTTTGTGAAGCGGCGTCCATAGCAGTCTGGGTTTCACAAACATTTATGTGCAGTTTGCAAATGAATCACGGGGCCGCCTCACAAAGAGGAGAGCGGCGTCGAATAATCCGTTGATACGGCCGTAAAGATGAGACCTGCTGCGGACATGAGCCAGGAAGGAATGGCCCCGGGGTCGATATGAAATTGGTTAAATGTCTGATACCTTAAACAGCTCTAATTAAGGCGGGGAGATTTAAGGTTTAACAATGTTCTTTCAAGCAAAGCCTTTTAACGTGGAGGCCCGGTTTAATTTAGAGCTTGTTCAGCATCTGTGTATTTGTTAGAAAGAGGCTTTAAAACACAGGCACAGAGGCACAGGAGTCTGAGGCACTAATGCCCAGAATACAGACGTCTGCTGCTGTCCTCCAGAAATGAATTTACTTATATTTCTGCACCACATGTGGACGACACAGTAGCCGGGCGAATAAATTAGACTGGACGAAACGGCGTGCTGTGGTCGGCTAAGCTCACACAGGAGACAACAAATGTTGCTGCCGGACTTCATGAAAAGCCTTTTGTGCAGCCGCACAGCACAAATCAAAGGCCTACGGCACACATGCTGTCGGTTTTTAATTTTCATAATTCTCTGTATTAGTGGTCTGCTGTAGGAGGCATAGTTAAAAGCTGACACCAGGCAGACCGCAGCGCAAATAGGAGCCTGCAGATCAGGACACAGCAACACGGGCAACTCTATTCTTCTCAGGCCAATAAAAAAAGCAGAGGGTAAATCCATGCCTTTTCCTCCAGAGGAAGAATACGAAGCACAAAATGTTCAGGGAGATGAAACTCATTCTCCATTTAAATCTCCAGAATATGACTGACGTCTTTTCTGGTTTAAGTTTGTGATCTGTAGCAGATGCCTGACTGACTCCTACGAGCGACGCAAACTCACCTGTGTACTGCAGCACAAATCCGTTACTGCTCAGAGACGCATCGCTGCGGAAAGCCAGAAACAGGGTGTTGGAGCTGCTCTCGATGTGATCTGGAACATCTGTGCCGTAGAAACTGCCCAACAAAGAGCTGAGGGAGTCGGGCCCGTCGTAGATGTGCAAGAAGTCGTAACTGGGCTCCAAACTGAACCTGGAAACAACAGTGGAGACGTGTTAATAGGCAGTCTGGAATAGACAGTAAGAAAATTGAAATACTTTGAATGTCAACATTGACAACAGCTTCAGTTCAGAGTAAATATATGGAGGCTTACTGGTTAAAGCTCAAAGAAATGACGTAGTCCTGTGTGACGGTGACTCTCCAGTCACACTCCCTTCCATGGGGGTAAGGTTCAGGATAGTCCGGAGACAGAATCAGTCCACTAGGACCTGTCAGGTTCCCACCACACGGAGCTGTAAAAAGAGAACATTTTATTCATATAAATGCATGGCAAAAACACATTTGAAATACATGCAAGATATAGGAATAAAATTATTGAGTACAATTATTGATTTCAAGAATTTAGCATTTACTTGAACCTTGTTTGCTTTCTGAAATGGTAAAATGTAAACATTATAACATATTAATGCTGAATTTATTTAATTTAAAGTTGAACAGATACATTTAAGTTCCTAACTGGAATTTGAAATTTAAATTACAAGACAAGAGGATATTTAGGTTTCTCTGTCTGCTGCCATGACTGCAGCTGTCCTGGGAAAAGAACAATCTGGTTACCTGATTTAAATTCACCTAGTTTGTTACAAGGAAATCTTTGGAAGCAGTAGTGTCAACTCATCTGACAAAATGTTCTCCCTGCAAAAGGTTACTCAGAGCCCACAGTTTCAGACCAATGGCTCTCCAGGCTCACATTAATTAAATGTATCTTTATTATCGTAAAGCATATTATATAATGCAGTTTTATTATTATTTGCATAGTGCATCACTGGCTCACTAGCTGTGTTTATTAGGGATGAAACGATACAGGAAAGCCACGTGTTTGGTACGTTGATACCTTGGTACCGACATGTCTCGGCCACGTGTACTGCTAATTAACGTTAATTAAGTTAGCTCACAGCGATAGGGGTCCGTCAAACCTGCAGAGGTTTGACTTTATTCTGCTATGCATTAATAAAGTTACCCATGGTACGCTTTGAAAACAGAAGTACACCGGAGAAATGCACGTACCGTTACAGCCCTAACGTTAATACAGCAGCACCTCTGAATCATTCGTGCAAATAATCGATACTAATGCTCTCTGCAGTCTGATTCATATAAAACATATAATTATGTGTTGTCGCAGTTTAAAATTGATGACAGTGGGCTACTAAACTACATGCGGCTGTAGTACCTGTGCATGTCGGAGGGTCGGGCTGCCAGAAGAAACGCCCATTAATCTCGGTGCAGGTGATCCTGTTGGCTCCCTGTAGGACGTAGCCGGGATCACACTGGAACACCACCTGGTCACCAGGCTCTCTGCTGTCTCCACCGCGGGTGCCGTTAGTAGGCATGCCGGGGTCATTGCAGGAGGTTGCGGTAGAAACTTAAGGACGACGATATTTCATATTCAGTATAAAGAATGAGTGATGCACTGTCATGTGATGTGCTGTGCTCCTTACTAGAGAACTGCAGAGCAAAGCCCTGCTTGCTGGTGAAGAAGTCCGTGGTGAACTGCAGGCTGACCGTGTTAAAGGTGCTGTGGGCGTCCTGGGGCAGGACGGAACCACTCAGCTCCCGCAGCAGAACCCCTCCATCCTGGGGCCCATCCCATATTCGCAGCACATCGTGGACCTCCTCCGTGTGGAATACTAGGAAATGCAGGCTATAATAGAAAGGGAGAGAAATAATGACAAGTGTTGGAAAGTAATTTTAACTCATTTATTCAAGTGATCCAATTAACGGAGTCAGTGAAGAGAAAAATCATTAACGCCACATATTCCTTCACATAATGGTGGTGGTATGTAGTTTGGGGATTTGGATTTAACTAGTTTTTCTAAAATTAAAATATTAAAAACAGGAAGCTTACAATAATAAACAGGCCTTGTATAATTTACCTTTTTTAGGATAACGTAACAACATAGATTTAACAATGATTCCAGGTTTTAAAGAATGATTGCAAATACTATTAGAATACTAATCAATAAAGGAAACCAGTGCATTTAAAGTGTCCTTTCCAAATACTGAATGACAGCTCCTGAGTGTTAGTCCTGCAGACATGTCCATGGCTGCACTTGATAGTGATGCTGTCAAAATACTGTATCTGCAAGTCACTTTGGTAAAGACAGCTGTCAGTCAGTTGATCAACCACTGTGTGAAATGCTCCGTGGCTATGTTTTTATGTCTCAATGATGCGATACTAGGAGCACAGTAACTTAACATATGCAACTTAGCATAAACCATTCAGCTTGTTTTTGGATGTTTTGCATGGAATATGTTTTGTACCATATAAACTTGTTCGCTGCATCAGGATAAGCAGTATGGATGCTGGGAGATGGAGTGCACAGCAGCCCCTTATTATGATGACCTTGGTCCAGCATTCTTTTCATTACATGCATCAGTTGTCATTGCTTATTTATGCATCTATTTTTTCCACCAAACACTAATGTTTGTATCAGTGACCTTACATGACGGAACAAAGGAGAGGAGGTTTTGTTCATAGCAGCCGCCGCAGGGAAGGGAGGGTTGCTGCATCCCCCCGATTGATGAATGGTACAAAAAAAGGTTGTTATATATTCTCCTCTTAAAATAAAGTGACTTTGTGGTTGCACTGATTTTTTTCCAACTATATTAAAAATATCGCTCTAAAAAGAGCTTTTCATCATTACCTATTGATTTTGATGTCCTCAGGTATAATATTACAAATACATTCTCGTGAATTCTTCTGGAGTTTATTTTGAGTTCCATTGTAATCAGGGGCAACGGCAGCGGCACCACATATGCTTTCACATTCAAATTCTTTTACACACTCTGATACACACACAGAGCCCTGAGCTAAGACCGATCCGGTGCAGTAACAGCGAGCCAGTGATGTCAGCTTTAGCAACAAGTTCCCACCACTTCTGCATAATTGGTGTCAGGCTCTGATTTCCATACCGTCTGATATCTGAGCAGGAGCCACGGGCTACTTAACAATATGCTGTTTGTGGACACTGTGGACTTGACACGTCCTGTTGTGATTCCCGCAAACCATGGGCACAATAACCAAACACATGCGGACAGGAACATCAGCACATATTTCGCATAAATGAGCACCAAAGATACTCTATATCAGTGGTTCCCAACCCCCAGGCCGCGTAAGGGTATAATCCTTTAGCTTTTTATATACAGTCTATATGAAAAGCTCAAGGATTATTCTCTTTACCACATTATACTGCAGTTCATGTGATCACCAAGCCATATTGGTGTTTCTTTTTCTTAAAAAAAAGCTACTTTTGCAAACTAAAAATGGCTGAGAGCTACTCATGCTGATTAACATTTGCTTATCAACATTGCTGATTCTTTGGGAGTATTTGGAGAAAATCCAAATCAGGGCCGAACCAATGGGGTGTATTGTTATTACAAAATTAATAATGCATGAAAAATCCAGTTGAACAAACTTCATTTAAACTATTAAACAAAAACATACATAATTGCAGTCTAAATCAGTCAAACAGAAGCATGAGTGAATTCAACACAAAGTTACATTTGTGACCTACAAACTTCCTACTATTGTACAGGATCGTGTCTGTTTTTATACCTACAGTACAAACCTGAGGTGATGTTCAGAGCCCCTCCACCACCGTCTGGTAAAAGCCTCAGGCAGTCTTATGCTTGTTATGCAAATAGTGTTGTGAAAACCCTGAGGTGCTACAAGCCTTCCATATCTAGCCTCCTCTTCCCCGTGGTCCAGACAGCAGGGCAGGCACCGAGGTTCTTTTACGGGATTAGCATCATGAATAAAACAGAATGGCTTCCATTTGAACATATGTACAGGTCTGTATCTTAGTGTATGGAATATTAATGTGCACATGTAGAGTCGGCGAGCGTGTGTGCATGTAGTGCGGAGGATGGAGAGGATACAGATCAGCGGCAAAGATGCGCGACCTTTGTCGATGTTTAGCGCCAATGTGGTGTTTGTTGATTTCAACTTTCTGATGAATGATTCATAACTGTTAGATACAGGGATGGACTAGTCTTTATATTTAGAACTGGGTTCATACAAGGAGAGAAGGGAGAGAAGTTTGTTGGGGGGGTGAGGTGGGCAAAGTAAACACTGGAAGATCGACCTGATGGAAATGGGTTCAGAGGTTGATGGAGAACAGAAAAGGTTCCAGAGCAGGAAGAGATTTGTTTTGAGTGGCCAGATGGATGGAATGAATGTAGGCTGCGCTTTTTGATGATAATGAAAAGGTGAATCTTCCTCTGTCAGGCAAAGAAGGGAAGAAGTGGTCAGAGGATAGAAGCTAGATGTCAGTGTAAACAATAATAATGACCGTGATTTGTTAACAATATAGTTTGGTATATGTGTTCTATAGTAATGTGTGTAATTCTGCAGTCTTACAGGCAAAGTGTGCATTTAAAACAGGTTCGGACTGACTTTAAAAAACATCTTCAGGTTGAGATGATACGATAAATTGCAGGCTTTACTCAGGATGAAAGTGTTTCAGATCTTAGTGTGTGTATGCGTGTGTGTTTTTTAAATGATAGGATTTTTTTTTTCTAATTTAACGCTAAGGCGTTTTTGTTTTTTTTTTTACTTTTAAAAAACGAATTTCATCATCATTTACCCCTGTCTGCGTGCTCACATCTCAGATCTGAAAATGTGTATTTATGTGTTATCAAGTGAGCCTTCACCTTATCGGTGTGTGTGGACGTGCAGTATATGCACAGCATCCACTCAGACACACTCATACCAGAGCGTTTTCTCCCTACACCTGAAGAATGCTGTTTCTCCCTGCAGTTATTTTGGTCACTTCTAAAAGCCAAGACACATGATGTAAGACCATGTAAGTGGTGTTTTTGTACAGATAAAGGACAGAGCACAATTATTTTTAAGAAAGGAAACTGGGAATTCGAAGTATAGAGCTATTAGTAGCAAGGAGATTTTATTCATAGCAATCATGACAAACCTTTGTAGATCTGAAAAAAAAAAAAACTTTTCAAAGAAGACGAAGCCAGTGTTTTGTTTGCTTATAAGAAGGGTGTTTAGTGGGGTACATAAACTATTTTTAACAACACACAGTCCACCGCCTGTGGACAAACAAAATATGGGTACAATAATGCACCCTAACATACAATGACTTTCTTTTTTAAACTATGCTTTTTTGCTGCAGTACTGTTAGCTACAAAATATCTGTCCTTCGGTGGATATTTATTCACAATAGTCACAACAGAACTATTCAGATATAGTCAATCTGAAGATCCTAGCTAACATTTATGAATCATTATCTAATGTTGACTTTAACTTTAACTGTGGAAATGAAGTTAGATTTCTTTTTCTGGTTTTGGTCAAACAGACTAAACCTGGCATGGGCCTCTAGTTTGGAGGCCAGTTTACTTCAGGCTCCAGTGTTTTGTCCACACCTGGACATAGAGGTTATCTAAAGTAGCATAGCCTATGGGTCAGTTGAAGCACTGGTGCATATTGGATCTTTTTTTTTTTTGTGCACTGTTCGAAACAGCAGCTGCCGTAGATCAGCATTTTTGGGAGTATATTTTCTTTCTTGAAAATTTTTTTTTTTGAAACTTTCTTGTGTCTGCGTGTGTGTGTGTGTGTGTGTGTGTGTGAGAGAGAGAGAGAGAGAGAAAGAGAGATAAGGGAAATCTTCACACCTGGATGTAATATCCAAATATCAGCCAGATGCCCCCCTGGCCCATGTCACTGGGGACTGAGGAGAGGGTGATAAATAATACATGGAAAGGTTGACTATCCAGTGTGTGTGTGTGTGTGTGTGTGTGACTAATAGAAAAAAGAAAATCAATAATAGAGAAATTATGCAGTCAGTTCCTTTCCTTAGTCTCCTCAAGCTTTGGTCTGCAATAAAAACACCGGTCTAATTACTGCTCACAGGTCTCTGTAACACACACACACACACACACTTTTATCCTTTTCAATGATAAACATAGTGTGCAACCAATGGTTAAGTAAAAATGAAATTATGTGAATTTTAATGCTGCTGTTTTTTGTCACAAACATGAACCGCCTCCAGACCTGTTGATCAGTGTTTTTGTTCACCACGTGGAATTAATCCAGATCCCTTACAAAACTAGCTTTGTTTGATTTGTGCATTACCTTTATCTACGCCAATTCATATCCAAGGACTCCCGGTGCTAATGTGCTGTGTTTTTTTTTTTTTTTTCTCACTTAAGAATTTCTTGCCTAAGATCAAAGGCATGGGAAGAGAAGTCTACCTTGCAGAGGAGCGTCAGCAACCCAAAAGAAGGAGAGGCACTAATGAACCTAAACTAACACTCACAGCAGACCTTGGAATGTCAGATGTGTGTGCCATGAGACAACATCTGCCCGCAGATAGGTCCATGCAAACAACCTTGCACAACTCTACACTGTCGGCATCATTTGAGTATGCAGTGGATTAGAAACCAAAGGCTTTGAGTATTACTAGGCAATGAGTGGGATCAAAACACAGATGTAAAAGAAAGTCTGATTTAACAAGGACTAAATTATGATCACACCGTTCATGATCACTTTAATTTGGCCATCAACAGAAATGAATTTAAATTAAAAAAATAAGACTTGTGTTATACATTGCAATTCAATAAAAGTGTGGTTAATTGCACATAATGAATTACAAAGGCTCTAATTAACATGATTCACTTTTTTTTTTTTTACTGCGTCCCACCACTGTTCTCATAAAAGGGCTCTTCAGGCATTAGATCCTTTAGAAAACTAATTTCAATAGATTAAAACACAGCCAATAAAATCATCTCCTGTGTTCAATGTCACATTCATAAAGATGCCTCTGTACTCCTGGGCTTAACTGCAGTCTCACTGTGTGCTTTGCAGTTCAACGTCAAGTACTGAAGGACAAAGTACATATTCTACTTTTTATCATCATGGTCGTGTCACTTTATATTATTCAATATTATTATGTTAGCACACAATCACTTGAAATGTTAGGAATCTAGGCATTCCTAACACCTTGTACAAGACAATCCAGGCTCTTCAAATAGGTCATTCCATGCCGGTGAAATGAGCTACCACACACTACCAGAATAGGGGCTTTACTGCCGATGTTCTAGAACCAGAATCCCGTGGAAGCCCCTTTTTCCAAACTATCAATAGTTCCTCAATGTAGCTTGATTTTTGTCACATTTGATAAAAGCATCAGCATTATGCAAAATTGTAAATGTCCAATTATTGGAATGTAATAAGAATAAATCGTAAATCAGGTCAGGTTGATCCTAAAGTACTCCTTTTGTAAGTGCAACTGAAAGCAGCATTGATTGTGATTCTTGAAAAGCACGTATAGAGAGGTTTCACTAGGACTCCTGCAATAGTTTTCCATTTCACATTTCAGCTAACCTGTAAACGTAAACGTTTTCACATCGATAAGCCTGGCTTTACTCAGAACAGCTGACTTGCTTTGATGTAGTCTAAAACCTGGAGGCTACAAGGTGGCATTTCCTCTCACGTAGCAGCAACTCCACTACCGGGTAACTGCGGCTGACTTGGGATTGATTACACAGCAGCCTGTGAAAGTGATAAATACCACTGCAAACAGGAGGTAATTTGGAAGTATATTGAAAGGTGGCGTATTGAAAGGAAGTCTACGAAACAAACAAGCAAGCAAACCAAAAAAAAACAAAAAAAGTAATCCCGAAGCTGAGAGCCAACAAAAAGGAAACAAAGAATGTTCCTCTCACCTGATAGTGCTCCCAGGGGGCGCCTCGATGGTCCACATGCAGTGCAGGTTGTGCTCGTATGGAGCTGGATAGCCAGGAGACAGGATTCGACCGGCGGGTTCATCCTTGAGGTTGCCACCACACTCGGCTAAAAAAAGGAGCAGAGAGACAAATGAAATCATCACGATGCTTCCAGTGAAGTGCACTAAATCACTTTCTTTCCATTACTTTTAACAAGTGACTTTGACGTTTATTGTCTTGTTTTAAATTTGAATTATACAAGAGTGGGCGGCAGAAGTAAACAATCACAAATGGAGACCAATCACATTACGTGTTTTATAAAATGATTCCTTTTGGCTTTCTGAACCAAGAAAACTATAGTTATAGTAATAGTAGAGCAGTTGGTACAGTATCACCAAAGTATTATAATCATGTAGTAATACATGGAAATATTTTCACATCCAATATGCGGAAGTGTGTTAAGTTAGTCCATCTATTTTGCTCAAACTGGGATTCAAACTTGCACATTTTTGCTCGTGTGACTTTCAGGACATGAACTCTTCCTGCGGTTTACAGCATTCGTTTTTCCCTCTTGCTTCCCCAAAATACTGGGCTTCTTTCATCTTTGCCGAATGTGTCCCCGCAGTTGCAAAATAATCCCACCATTACAAACAGACGCAGTTCCAAGTCCTCTGTGAGGCTATCGTCTGCAGTGGAAGGGGGCACGGGGAGGACAAACGTGTGCAGAGATGTGCGGAGTGTTGAATGTTGTTTATGCACAGACATGGAATTACCTGTCAGACGGGGTAAAAAGAGAAGCCAAGTAATATTATTCTAATCACTTTGGCTGATGTCGTAAGACACAATTCTGCCCATTTTCATTTTTCTCCTCCTTTTTTTCCCCACTGCGGTTCTAACTGGCTCCTTGGAGACTCTGTCATAGATGTCAGAGGGAGAACTTTCTCTGTTAGTGTTGCTGATGTGTATGTCTGTGTACTGCTATAATAGTGTGACAAACAAAGCACCTGCAATTTTGACAGCCAACCTTGTGATGGACATTCCAGACTACAACATCAGCCTGGGGTCGTTCCACCTTACCAATGATGTGACACATTTGACGATTTTGTGTAAAACTTTATAGAGTGAATTCAAATGTTGTTTAATGCCGTGTGTTTCTTGTTTATTTTAATAAAAAAATGCAATATAAAAAAGCAGAAGATCACTGATCTTTTAAAACAGTGCCCCGAAAAAAAGAATACATTTGTTAGTATTTTATTTTGAAAGAAAAATGACACTTCCTCCCAGGTGTCAATCTCACCATAGGTCCCACTGATTCTGCAGTATGGTCTTATGGGCATGTAATTAATTTTCAAGAGGTCAAGAAGTCAAAGTTAATTAAGTATCAGTGATGTATCAGAGGTTTGTCGGACCTACCGACACACAGTGGGAGAGGGCTGTCCCATGCCCTTCTCTCCCCCCTCAGGCAGGTGAGTACTTCAGGGCCTTTCAGTGTGTAGCCTGGGTCACAACTGTACGACACAGTGCTCCCAGCAAAATGCCCTTTATCCTCTTTCTTGTAGCCAAAATGGGGGACACCGGGGTCCTCACATTTGACCAGCTCGAAACCTAGATGATTGAGACAAGAGAGAGAGGGAGAGAGATGGGAATTTAGGCTGACCTTAAAGAGAAGAGAAGGTCAGCAAAGTAGAACGCAGGAAGTAAAATCAGGAGGTGTTCAGTAACTAGGAAGTGAAGAGTCACTCACTGGTGAAGTGCAGCTCAAAGCCTTTGCTGATGTTATCTGCGTTGCTGATGAACTCCAGCCACATCGAGCTGGAGGTGGAGTTCAGAGTTGTGTCTAGCAACTCGTTGCCCGTGTATATACCCAGCAGACGTGCGCTGTTACTGCTGCCGTCAAAGACCTTCACGGGAGAAAGGAAGACGGAGGAATTAAAACCATCACTTTCAAAAAGTTGTTGTTGTTGTTTATTTTTTTCTCGCTACCACACTCACTTTAAGCATGTCGTCCTCCTCCAACCTGAAGTCCCGTGCTCGAAGCTGGATGCCTTTGCCAGGCTGGGTTTGGATGGAGTAGATGCACTCGTGATTGTTACCATAGTAGCCAGGGTAGTTGGGCGATAGCAGCACCCCCTGCATGCCAGTCACGGAGGAGCCGCATTCGGCTAGAAAAAATGCCAGGGAGCGGAGATCGACAGACAAAGACACAGGAGAGAAGAGGAGAGAGAAGGTGGACGTGGTGGTGTTGAGAGAGCAGAGGACATGTCAATCGCTATATGTTTGAAACTCAGAGTGTTTTTAATAATTTATGCTTTCATGTATAGAGAGATGGGAGAGGTGACGGACAGAGGAATGTATTCACCGGCTGTAAATGACTGTTAGGTGAAGCTTCATTATAATCACACCGCCATCTGAATGTGACTCGGTAATGTCTGCTCTATTTGAAAACTGCTTTTTCTGTAAAGAATAAAGAGAGGGAGCCTGTCTGCAGGAAGAAGAAAAAAAAACTCTATTGCAGCCGGAATTTAAAATGACGACAATTGTATGCCTTTGAACGACATGAATGCGTGAAGATAAAGTGAGGGAGGATGGCCGGGTCTGTATGGGTGGTGTATGCAGAAGTATGGAGTCTGAGATATGGCTGAATGGAGTAAATGCATACAAATGAGTTGTGGCACGGTTGCCATTCTTGAGAGGTGTGGATTTATCAAAAGACAAAGAAGCCAAAGTTATGAGCTACAGCTACACTGGCAGTTAACTGAATTTGAATAAACTCGGAGTCAGAATATAACTACAGCAGGGGTTTTTACATGATAACGTCATGTTTTTTTTTTTAAATTTGCATTAAAAAATACAATTTAAAGTGTAATCTGTTTTTGTTTTTTTTTTTACAAAAAAAGTGGCAAAGACAAGACTGGATGGGACAAACACAAGTTTCCCTTTTCCTCCATGTTCCTCGTACCGTCAACAGATCTATTTTTTGCATCTCTAGCTTGATGTCAAATGACATCCTGAATGTGTAAATACTTTCTGAATTTCTCAGAGGTCTGTGAGGACCTTAAAGTTCAGCACTGGTTGGTCATGACCATCAGCCATGTTAGCAAAGCTACAGCCTTTGGTGGATGCTCCTTTATACAGTATGTATATACACTGCCAACTACAGGTGTGTGCTTTACCCAGCATGATTAATGATGATCCAAACAAACGTGTGTAGCTCTTGAGATTCAACACACTGACCCAAATCTTTGCAGCTTGTCTTGTCATGTTTCGTGCAGCACGGGACAAAGAAACATCAATATATGACACCTTTTCCTGCTCCTTAATATCACACTCATTAGAGCGGCCGCTCTGGGTAATTTGGACAAAGTCGAAAAGACCATTTCTGGGACGCAATCCAATGAGGAGATAAAAAGCGAATGGTTATAGAGATGATAATGAGGTGGGAAAGACGCATCTTCTACTGAGACTGACACTTTTGAACTCTTCTTAATGAGTGGGTGTGCAGAGAGGCGTTTGTGTGGCAAATGCAGAGAAGAGATCACAGTGGATGTCATAAAGGACCGGAAGAAAAAAAACATATGACCACCTACCAACACACCTTGGCAGAGGCGAACTCCACACCCGCCTTCTGCCCCCTAAGCACACCACCCTGGCCGGACCCTCTAGTCTGTAACCTGGGAAACAGGAGAAGATGAGCGCATCTCCTACTCCATAGAGTAGACCCTTTCTGGTGCTGAAGGGTGGGATTCCAGGATCTTCACATGGCTCCAAATCATACTCTGTAAAGAGAAGATAAACAGTATGTTCATATCAGTGGATTGCTGGTACTGAAAATTGTATTTCGATTTAGGAACAACTGCTCCAACTTGTTCTCGTGTATGATGTATGAATTCGGCCAGTTACATATAAATACATACATATGAAAGGTCAAGAAAATGTTTCCGAAAAACACAAAAAAAGCAATTTTTATTTAAATCTCTACGGACTGAATATCATATATTGCAGCGCAGTGTTTAGTGGAGGTCTTTGTAAGTAATGAAATCCTAACATTCAACACTTTATCCGTCTATTAACTGCTTTTCATTTAGCTTGTAAAGCTAAATGTTTTCTGAGGCACTTGGCATTTGAAGCTGTCAGTGATATTTTATTAGTCACCATAATATTCTTTTTACTACACTGAGGTGATCATATCAAGTTCAGAAAGTACTTCGCTCTATTCTAATTGAATAATGTAAAATATACAATTCGTCTTGGAGCGTTATTCTTGAGAGCGCCGACGAATTATTCCATGAAATCTAGTTCGAATCAACATCCTCCTTTTCTAAGGTGTATTCGGTTGATTGGTCAATAATTCAGCAACATTGTCATAAAAAAAGTTAATGTTGATGTTTTGATTTTATCTGAACAGTGTGAAACGTTTCCACTCAGTATAAATCAGCTGCTTAAGGTCCGATCGCTGTGTTGTTGTTGTTGTTGTTTTTTCAGAGCACAAGATCCATTCTCACCAGAGAAAGTGATGTTGAATCCCTCATAGGACACAGAGAAGTCAGAGAGGAAGCGTATCTGAGCCGTGTAGTTTCCAAACAGGCCTGCGCTGAGTGGAGGAGGAAGTGTTGAGCCGGTCAGTCTCCACAGAGGCTGAGTGAAGCTGCTGTTCTCTGTCACCAACAAATGGTCATGAGGGCTTTCGAGGTGGAAAGTGTGGAATGTGAACTGGACACCTGAGTAACAGGAAGAGGAGCAGGTCCATCCAGAGACAGGTTGTTTAAAAACAGAGGAAATGACTCTGGAAATTTAAAATTTAACTGTAAGCTCTGTTGACACAAATTTTCTTCCACTAACCTTTGCCATGTGACGTCTCGATTATCCATGTGCAGTTGAGGTTGTGAGGGTAAAAGTCTGGAAAACCAGGTGACAGAATGGTGCCGAAGTTACCCTGGATATAACCGCCGCACAGTGCTGACGAACGGGAACAAGCCCGAGACGGATGAAGTGGAGAAATGAGAAAAGAGCAGGAGGGACAAATTCAGAGAGGGCAGGGATGTGAGAAATAAAACTTTCCCCCTCAACAAGAAAGTAAAATATATTTCTGCCAGACGGCCTTAAAAAAGCATAAAACCAGTTTTATTATTTGTATCTTTTCTGTGGGGAAAGAAATCCATACTGTCATCAAATAAAAAAAATATTTACAGATTAGGAAATCATGAATGGCCAAGCAGACTGAAATGCATTTAAATTAATAATAGTTCTAAAGCAAACTTTAAAATAGGAACATTTGGAATTGTTCTAGAAGTCAGAATTATGGGGCGTACCATCACAGCTGGGCAGTGGGCGGCTCCATTGAAAATTGGGTTCACATTCCAACGGCTCGTTGTCACTGAGCGTGTAGCCTGCCTCACAGCTAAATGTCACCAACGCACCCACGTAGAAGTCGTTGCCGTGCCGCTGACCGTTGACAGGTATGCCTGGATCGACACAGTGATCCGACTGCAACTGCAGAGCTGCAGAGAGGGGAAACAGGCGTGAGAGAGGGAAGATTAGGCACATGATCAAAGACACGCTGGAGTATAGAAGAGGAAGCCACCTGATCACACAGAAAGCAGAGTTTAACCCTGTTTATATTAAAGGTAAACAAATGTGAGAAGGAAGTTTTGCAATTCCAAAGCACTCCTCAAATCAATCAGCGAAACATTTCTGAGCTTTTTCCGTCTTCTACGTAGCCTATGTTTTAACGAGGCAGAAATTACATATGATTAACTGAAGCTTTGCGGAGATTAGTCAGAGAAAAGTGGTACATGTTTTAGAGTGTGCCAATCTGGTAGGAACCAAGTGTTTGGACTGCCTTCAGGGTTTAACCCTGGGATGATTGAAGGCCTGCGCTTGGGGAAACGGTGTGAAGGAATGCATATCTTACAGAAAAATCACAACCAGTTTACTTTGTAATTATAGGTACTCGAAAGAGGATGGCTTCACAGTAAAATTTAGGGCCTGCAGAGATGGAAGTCACAGCCGTAACTCAGTACACTTGAGCTGTACATTGAAGAATCCTCACTGCAGCTTTGTCTTTGATTCTCCTCTGTATAATAGATATATCTCCATCAATTTCAGATCAGCATTAGAGAATGGGCTCTTCTTTTTTGAAGGTGCCCATCATGCACCTGTCAGACCCTTACTTTCGTAGCGAATTCGGAAGCCGATGTCAGAGTGGCTCTTGTCGGTGGAGAAGAGCAGGTACAGGAAGTTGGAGGTGCTGATGAGGAACTGGGGGACCTGGGTTCCCTGATAACTGCCGATCAGGGGCGAAGACGGGAATCGTCCATCACGCACCTCAAGGACATCGTAGTTGACCTCCGTGCGAAACCTTAACAGGTAAGAAAAAGTTACACTTTTATGCAATGTTTACCTTTTAAATACTGAGTTTATTATTTCCCACAGTTTAACTGTAATATGACAGGCAACAGATTATCCAGTCGCACTCAAACACCACCTTGTGTATCGGAACATAATCCTGCTCAAAACGCTGATCATCAAAATCAAATTTCAAACACACTTGTTGGCTTTTAATCAACGTTCCGACATCAGAAGGTCTGAATTAGACTGTGTTCAACTTGCACATGTTTGAGCTTTGGGAAATCCACAGACATTTCCATGCTTTGGTGAGTGCATCTGTGCAGTGTGACTGTGATGGTGCTGGAGTCAGTGGGTGTGGGTGCGTGTGTGTGATGTGTTTGGGTCTTTGTTGCCCATGCCACTTCATCTTCAAAGCCATGAATAAATTGCTTATTTTCACAACCATGTCATCTAAATGAAGCGGTGTGTGATATTTTATTGATGGGACATAAAAATTAAAGAGATACAAACATTTATGTTGTATTCATTTTGCATGGCGTGCTGTCATGGCAGGCATGATGATTATGATGAGATGGCTCCCAAGGATAAGCCTTGGTGAAACGCTAATGTAGCGTTTGATCCCATGAATGTATGCTTCACTCTCTCTTCCTCTTTCCTCTCTTTCTTTTGTGCCCTCACACAGACATCAGGACAAATGACCTCTTCCTCCATCTGCCCCTTTTGATGGCTAAATATGGATATATATTAAATGATGGAATAAAATACTTATGAACATCAAATGAATAATACATAGTATATTAGTTCTGCATCCGAGGTCTGCTGGGCTTGTCACATTGGAGAAATAGAAGATAAAGGTCAGTGCTGCAAAATATATACATATGAAGGGCTGTCCAAAAATCCCAACCTCCATCCACTTATCGTTGCTCTAAGACAACGTCGATACACAGGTTGTTATTTGAACAACTTAGATTAAGGATTTCACGAAAGCGTCTCGAGGCTTCAACTTCAGGACAGACACATGGCTTGTGTCAGAACAGTCTCACTGAGTGTGGGCACTAAGTAGGTCTATGGCTTTGGGGGGCTGTAAACAAATTAGTAATGACTAATTTACTAGAATCTACCAACTGTATAAAAAACATTTTGAGGTAGATATATTCCCATACATTTCCTGACACCTTTTTGATAATTTGGATTAGAAACAGGTGTTACACAGGTGTATATATATAAATATATATATATATATATATATATATAAATATATATGCTTTTATATATATATATATATATATATAAAAGCACACAGGTCTAAAAAGAGGGAAAAGTTCAACTTCTTCTGTAGGGTAAAAAAGAGTTTCTGTCCAGGTGACTCACTTGTCAAATATAATCTTAATGGGGTAGCCTGGAGGAGCCTCAATGATCCATTCACAGTTGAGAGCCTCCTTATAGAGTTCCGGCCAGCCAGGGGAGAGGATGATTCCACTAGGAGCCTTTAGATCACCTCCGCACGGCGCTAAAAGGGAGGGAGCGAAGAAGAAAAAAACACACACACACATCTGATATATGACATGGTCCACATGTGATCCCATGCATCAGTCGGGGCTCATCCCATCTCTTTTACTGCCTAGGTCTATTTAATGTAAATAGCTGACAGCACTTCAAGGTTAACTCTACCGCTCAGAACTCGCCTGCCATCGTGCACGCGGGCGCGCACGGACGCTGCTGCCTTCAGTTCAACGTCAATATAAATGGATGTGGTTGCCCCGTTTGTTTTCGTCTTTAAAGCTAACAGGTCAGCATTAGAGTTTATGCACTGCCCATCAACCTAACACTGTCTTCTGTAAACCCTATGTTTACCTTCTCGGAGCAGAACACAGTGAAGCAGCAGAGGGCTTAGTTACAGTGCCTGCTCCCACCACTCTTTGAAGTGGAATGATTTAATCAGCCGACTCAGCATACTGAAGGATATCAATAAATTGCATTACACTACAAACACAGGCGTATGACAGATTGTCTCAGGAGAACGCAAAGCCACTTTGGCGCAGAAGGGGAAGTGACATGGTAAATATTAGTCTCTTCTTTGAGTATCGTGAATGGTGGACCTTAATTGACCTCTCAGTGTGATGCGTCTTCAAAGAGACAATTAAGTGACTTTTCTGTGAAGACCAGTCCCTACAACACCAGTCGATACACACAATAATTGTACTAGGCTTTGACCATTTTTAAAGGTCCACATACTCTATTAGAACATGGGATGACTCATTCAAATGGTGTTACATCTGGGGTAGTAGCAGCCTTTGCTGCTTCCTTGTGACCCACAGCTAATCAGGTAGCATTTTGTGGGGATGTTCTTTACCAGCCAACCACCAATGGGACCGTATATATTTAGTGAGATAAACACACAAATATAGACTTTGTCGCCCCTTCATCCCTTACCTTCGCAACGAGGAACAGCGTTATCCCATACCACACTGCCGTCCTTGAGAATGCAGGATATGGTTTGCGATCCATGGGTCTTGACGAATCCTTCCTCGCACAGAAACGAGATAGAACTGCCCAACTGAAGGCTCTCACCGTATCGCTTCCCATTCACAGGAACACCCGGGTCTGGACACTCATTGTGGCGAAAAGCTATCAGAGAAGACAATGTAGAGTCAGTGTGTGCAAGGCTAAGAAGATTTGTGTATGTTATTATTCCCAAAACTCCTGTTTGACTTAAATGATAATGGAAACTAGAAAGAAAACAACAGAACAGGTCATTCCGCTGGTATTAGCCTCTTATATACCACATTTGATGCGCAGAGATGCTTATTTCCATTGAGATTCCACCATAATTGCCAAAGTTTCTTGACAAAACTTTTTTCTGTCTACTGTCAGCATTTAGTAATGCCAGCATTTTACAAGGAGAAATTAGTTTCACTTAGTGAGTCACATTGATTCACTCCGCAGCAGTCAGTCTGGCAGGTGGAAAACCACACTATATGCAAATCATCATTGCCAGTTGACACTGCTGCAAGATGCGTTCAGCAAATTAACCTTCAAAAAAACAAAGAAACAAAACAAAAAGATTTTTTTGTTTCATACATCCTCAAATCTTTATGCTTCAAACCATTTTAATGAGTAAGTACGAGTCAAAAAATGCCTTACAGTCAAAGCACAAGAGGCATAACCCCCGGACAAGGCACGTAAACAAATACATCACCCGAGTCACTATCTCTCTCACTGAATCTCTTCCTCTTGTACATGCACATGGTGAGGTGACACAACGTCTAGGTGCTGATGAATTCCTGTTCTGGATCCGTTGGACCCAAACAGAGTCTGGGCCCCGCTTCATCCATCATGCCCGTATAATTTATTAACGGGACAAAAATCCCTTCAATACAGTTTGGCATGTTCTTAATTAACATGAATGATAGGACTTGTCTGCTCAGTCCTGCGACCCCCTGAAAAACCTGTAGCTAGACGACACTGTTGTCAGGAACCAACTGTCATCTTCAATTACTGCTCCTGACACTGATTCACCATGCTGCTTTACTTATTTCTTTATTTATTTTTTAATTATTGCATCCACCACCGTATCGGCACACGTTCATGCACATGGTTGAGCTGTTGTGTCTCAAATTTCTTTTGTGCCGTACACATCTGCCTTACATGCAGAAGGTTCTGGGTGTCAGCTCCAGAGGAAGCACATACTGAATGGCACCTCCTGTGGCAGTCTGTGAGTTTCCCCATTGTGAGACAAATAAGGGACTTCATTGTTATCATCACAATTATTGTTGTACTTAAAATACATTTTTGACCAATCTAAATAGTTAAGAATTATTGGGATTATCCCAACACTGCGTGTCCTGTGTTCCACTACATTTTCTTAAGGCCAAGACAAAAACTCCCAACAGCACCTTTTGGGCTTTCACAATAGGTTATAGAATGATGTGACTGCCGGCCGCCCACAGCACAGGATATCCATTAAACAGGATTACCAGCACAGAGCTACGGAGCACTGTACTAGGGTATGAAAACCTAACTGGAATTTCCTCAGACGTCAGCAGCGAACAAGAATAGATTTTAATGAGCAACGCCACAATGAATGAGTCAGGTAAAGGAGGCTGCATCCCTGCTTGAGCTTTATTCATATGTCAGACTTCTGTTTAGACAGCAAAGATGGGGCTTTTATCACTTTGTCTACGTGACTGAGTGTGGGCGTTTGAGGACCACGTTGCAGAGAGTGGAAGAGTTTATGTAATCTGTGGGAGACAGGAATGGCGATGAGGAGGATGCATCGTGATTCGCTGTGCGCACACACACGCACACATGCACACGCACGGAGTAAACTAATAAAAAAACAATTGCTTCTGGTGATAATGGCAGCACTCAATACTCACTGGTAAATGTGATGTTGAATCCTCTGTCTGTGTAGGTGTGGTCAGTGAGGAACTCCAGCCGCGCTACGTGAGCACTAGTTGTTATGGGAGGAGGTAGGACGTCACCCGAGAAGGTGCCCAGGATGGGAGACTCGGCCTGGGAGACAGGATCAGGACATGGCAAAAATGTGTAAGGAGTGACAAACTAAATAAACGGCTCCTACAGTGAATAACACAAATGGGAATAAAGTAGTAGGTTTAATTTTAGACTTCCCTGTCCACACAAATATACAAGCTGTCATTTCTGGTGACAAACGTTGCTCCTGGGAGATGTGGGGAAAGATTAAGTGGAAGTAGAAGCTATTTTTAATCTGACAATACCTTTCCGCCATCTTTGATTGAGAGGAAGTCAAACTGTTTTTCCATGCTGAGGTCATTGAAGGCCAGATTGATCCGGCTCTCAGGGTTCGTGATGATAAGCCACACACAGTGCATATTGTTTCCATACTCTTGGGGGTAGTTGGGAGACAGCAGCACCCCGTTCGGAGTGGTAAAGTTGAAGAAACAGGAAACTGCAGGCGATGCAAAAAACACAAACAGGAACAGTGAGGGGAAAGAAATAAAAACAGAGTGAAAAATAAATATTGAACTCAGGGAGGCTTAAAAATGCTCGAAATTAAATTAAATTTATTCATTCTATTTAATTTTCAACAAATCCCCATCTACTTCCTTTCCTCCGCCGGCTTAGGCGAAAATTGACAAATCTGTTGAGCGTGATTTATGAACAGCAGCAAAACTTATACAAATCTCATTTAAGTGAAGTGACATTTACACCCCAGTTATTTTAATAGATAGCTGGCATTTGAGCAATACATGTTACCAGGCAGACTCAGCCTAGTTTGGAAAGTCAGTTTACTGTATAAGGACACTGCCATCTTTCACTCAGATGTATATGAACAAAAATACACCATAAAAGCTATACAAACCTAATATGTAATTTAAAGAAATCATTAATTGTCAGTCATCAGTCCATCTCAGAGGAAGATGGCTCAAAGTATTCCACTCCACTATGTTTTCTTGTACAACCTGGTGTTCGGACCCTGTGTATGTAAAACAGCCTCAGAGAGCATTACTAATTCAGCTGTACTTTGTATTGCTGTAGGCTAGGAGTTCTGACACGTTCATCAAATGTTTTTCGCCCATGGCCTTTATAATTAACATTTCTTCTTTCCACCATATTATCAACTGTATTCACTGAGCAAAAATGGTTTAGAAAGTGAGAGACAAACCTTTTGCAACCTTTAGCACAAAAGAGTGGGATGGTGAGTCCCAACCTCTCCTTGGTTATAAAAACTGAGCCGTAGGTGATTTTATTTTTTTCAAATCCCAGTGTTTGTTCCCAAACAATTAATCATCTAAATTGCTACTTTAAGCCTTAGCCTTTGCCTTATTTTTCCTTTGTTCTCACTACTACGGTATCTAGTGTGTAGCAGATGTGTTGGTTGAAGACGTTCCAAATTAGACTCAAACTAATTCATTAATTATTTTTAAAAAGTCTATTATTGTGGGTGGACAAAATTTAAAGTTAAACTTTTGAGTAGAAAGTGAAATGTTACCTTAATATTCCTGATGTCAAAGCACAAAACTTTAGAGTGAATATTAAAGTCAGGCATATGGCAGTGAGAATTTTGTTAAAAAAAAAAAGTAACTCAGTCACATTGACTAAAACCCTTTGTCATTCGGCTTAGTTATTCAAGAAACTGCAGATTTTTGTCCGGCTGATTATCTCATCAATAATACCACAGTGGGTGTTATCTGCGTGGTCAGCTCTCTTTTTCTTCCTCGCTCATCCACTAACGCCCCACTCTCTCTGGTCGTCTTTCACAGTGTTAATTAGCTAATAAGACCCCCCGTTGTGTAAAAATCTACAGCCTCTTCTCACCCAACTAGGGGTAATCTGACTGTTCATTACGTAGCCATTTCACCACTTGTCTACACAGATTTAGACAGTTGGTGTGTGTGTGTGTGTGTGTACAATCACAATAGTAAAGATATTTAAGAGCTCACAAACACAGCTGGGTTTCTTTGCCGACCACTGGTTGTTCTTCTGACAGGTGATGTTCTTCTTCCCGACCAGCTCAAAGGCGGGAAGGCACTCAAAGTAGAGTCGATCTCCGTGACGAAACCCCGTCCCTTCCCGCTTGCCATACGCAGGGATTCCAGGATCTCCACAACTGCCTTGTTCGATTTCTGTGTCATAATAAAACACATAAAACAAGTGCATGTTTGATTTGGAGGACCAGATTCAGATCGCCAGTTAATACTGCTGGAGGTGGAACCACTTAAATAAGAGTGATGCAGATGTCGTGACTATAGAAGATGAGGGGCTGACGTTGCCATTAGATATCACTAATAAGTAGTAACTGACGCAGAGTGCATTATAGGCTGAAATGACAGAGGAGATTCTAGGCAGCATGACTCGACTTTCGCAGTCATTTCCCCATTGTCTGGGCATGCCTTTAATATTTCATGTGATGTAACTTTTCTCCTTCCCATTTCACTCTTAATTGTGACTCACTTGAAATTCTCCCCTCATCTTCCTCCCCCGCAAATATATCACTCTTTTTTATTGTTGTAAACATGCTCTCAATTCCAGAGGCGGTAAGACGATGAGAGTTTTCTCAGCCAAACACAAAAGTGCAGACTCCAGCCCCTCATGACCGACCTTTGCCCTTCAAGCCCCACATGTCATTATCAACAACAAAAAAAAGATATACACGTGTCTCTGAAGCCCACTCTTGTTTCCTCTTCTGCGAGGACGCAGTTTGCATTAGGGAACGCTGAGGCATCCTATCGAGGCATCCAGATGGGGAAACACAGAGAGCGAATAAACTCATCCATCCAGGAAATGACGGCGGGGCCTAATACGATTTTAAATCGCACCAGGGGTTATTCGGGGAATAAATCCATAGCCGGCTCTAATGATGATCATCATTTAGGACAGATATTTAGAGTGCACCGCGGTTTTGGATGTATGGCTTTCCTGAGGCAGACTCATTCACAAGACAACTCATTGATCTTATATGGAAGTCACCTTTACAATAGCAGGGCGCTGAAAGCTACTTTAGAGCTGGCTATAAAATGTATATGACGGAGATTAACGCAATATTGAACACAAGTAATCTGGAAAGTAAGAAAATAGTTGATGTTCAGGAACCCCTCGTAATATCCCACTATGTAGGAAACAAAGCTAAGAGGAGCAGCTTTTGGATGTGGAACACTTGTATGGTCCACTAATATTCTTAGCGTCCTTGTCCTTGTTCTCTTGCTGTGTACGTTTTGTGTGAATTAATCTTCCGTGCACCACATAAGCAGAGGCAAGTGTGAATGAAAAAAAAAAAACATTCAGCGTTCTCATGAATAAGGGAGAAGGTGTAAAGGCACATTTGTTAATCCAGGCGTTATGGTGCTGTGACTCATATTACTGTCAACAACTACACTGCAATCTCTGGAGGCCCAGCTTGACAAAGAGACTTGAATAGTCAAGTAAATTCGTATTAGGTAACACCATGTCACACAACAAACCGCGGTGAACAAGGTTGTAATTCTATTCATGCGTGCTGACGTTGTTGGTGGCTACCCTCCAGCTTTTATATAAACACTCGATGTGACTATATTGGACAAAGCAGGCTTTAGATGGAATTAATTAATTTACCCATTTGGAACCGGAGCAGGTGCGTAGTGCCCGTCAAGTCAAAGATATATTCAAGTCGATTTAGGTGCAGATGAACATAAAGCACTTCTGTATATCAGTGCAGCACCATGACATGCGTACTGGAGTTACTATGTTGGCAATTACACTTGACGATCGTCCTTGAAATTCAAGTACACCTTAATGCAAATACGACTTTCAGAAGAGCACTCTGGGAGGTAGAGTGGTTCAGTGCGTTTCCTTCAATTCACTAAGGGAATTTATTAAGGGATTTTTTTTTATTATTACAATTGGTTTAACATCCTGCTCCACATTCACCATTATTTTATCTGATAAAACTTGATTTTCTATGGTTTGTGGGAAGACTTTTTTCCTTTAATGTCCTTACCTTCGTATGAAACTTTGAAGCCAAGGGAGCCACTGGTGTCGTCCGTTTTGAAATTGAGCCACATCTGGTGACTGGTGCTGACCACAAGGTCCGGAGTGGTAGTACCTGACAGTCTACAGACAGAAGGGAGAACGTCAAAATCCCGAAGGAAAGTTATCTTACAATGAAAGCCGCCATACTTGTCTGGACTGTGGAAAAAAAAAAAAAAAAAAAATTAGACTTCAGTAGACAACAGTATTCAAAGGTGTTTTTACAACCTCACACCCACAGCAGTGGAAAATCTCCAAGATAATGCAGTGAGAGTCTGTGTGCATGTGTTTGTGAGTATTTTATAATTACGAAAAGAATTGCTCATCTCGTGTTGTATTCATGGAGGCTTATTAATAAATTAGCATTCTGTGGTTCCCTAATGTAGCTGCTACGCCTGCCTTACACATTTGCCTTACAAGCAGAAGGTCCTGGGTTTGAGCCCCAGAGGAACCACATACTTAATGGGTTCTGTGGGCTGCAAAGTCCCACTGTGACGTATTTTTTTTTAATCACCTTGTTGTCTGTAATGATGCTTAAAGTTTTACTGAAAACTGACTGATTTCAACTGTGTCCCTGACTTTTAAGAAATATAACCCATAGATTAAACAGAGAGAGATCTTAAGATGCTTCTCATCCATTCCATAGGATCCACTGGAAGCAAGTGATGACCCCAGGTGCATAAAGACTTTGAGCGACCCCTTACATTTACATTATAAAAGAAGGGTGATTTACATATCATGTAGACAATATCCTTCTCCATTTTTTCCCCGCGATTGACACAAACACAAAGGAAAAGTGAAAGAGAAAGAGAAACGGATGCAGAATCAATCAATCGAGGTAATTTATTCCAATCCGAACAGCAATTCTACTCAAACTCTAATCACCAAGTGTATAGGCTGCAAGGGCTATTAATGAGGGTTATATTTTCAGTGACGTTAGAAGAAAAAGGGCAGTAGTAAGTCCCACATAAGTTGTGTCCTCATGAAAAAAGCAAAATAAAACCAAACTCTGTCTGTTTCATCTCCTTTTGGATCTCTCTCTGCCACTTTACTGCCTTCTTAAACATCATCTGTCACCATGACCTGTTTAAAGAGAGTCCACCTGCACATCAGAATGATTTGTTTTACATGGGATCACATCAGTTTCCTGAAAAAGCCTGTGTGGAAGGATCACATTAAATTGTCCCCACGCCATTATCCAATTGTCACCGAGCAGTGTCTTTCAAGTGAAGGAAAAGGGTGGATTTGATTGGTTGTGACTCACTCTCTATTAAGCACCACATCTTTATGGCCGCGCCGCTGTGAGGTTACGTGCTTGTGACCTCAAAGATACAAAATAAATAACGCTTTCTTGCACCACTGATTCACAAAAATATAGTCCCGGGTTGAAGTGCGCTGATAGCTGCAGTATATTCTCTGGCTCTAAATTGTTGTAGTTTGTTTTTGTACAAGAGCACATTCAATCTCAATGATGGAATTGCTCACTCTCCCTTCACATCATAAAGAGGTCCATAAAGTAGGTGACAACCCTAATTGAATAAATTAGGCCATTTTCATTTTGTTTATTGCAAAAGTGAAGAAAAATTAAGTGAGACAGACCTTCCCTCATCCGGAATTGATCAACATCTTCCCACACACGAGCGCATTCTCCCAGTTTCCACCCATGCAAGGAATGAAAATTGATCTATAAAATCTTTATTTATGTGGTAAATTTGAGTACAATTAATAACAACATCTCTCGGACCGCCAAGAAGCATCTGCTCTCGCTAACTAACTCAATTAGGGAACATCGATATAAAGTTTGGACGGCAGTTTTCGTTTTCTTTTTTTTTACATTGAAGGGAGAGACGACTGACAACGTGCTGCGAGGATCTATTTTCTATCCACTGTTGTGACTCGAGGTGATGAAAAGAAAATCTACAGGATACCAGAGATAAAAGAGCTGGAAGCCAGTTCAAGAGAAGAAGGAATGAAGAGTGATGTGGACCATTTCAAATAAAGGTGTTACTTACACATGGAAGACGGTCTTCTGATCTCCGACCACCTCGCCATCCCCTACTGTCAGAGTATCATAGCCTCGCTCCAGGTCAAAGTCCTCAAAGGTCAGCTTGATTACCTGAACAATAGCAAGGACAAAAGGCACGTGACCCACGAGGGAAATATAAATGTCTCTTGACTTTGACTTTTTCCTCACCTGAAAAGAAACTGTCAAATGTTATGTACATGGAATACTACAGAAATAGGGATACTTCTGTTTTTCAAACACTCATATTACTTCAATTCCAGTATAATGAAAATCACCCCCAAAAAGGTTTGAATTGAATCTTTTTATACACAGTTGCATGAACCAGCTGTGTTTTTGTGTTCTCAGTGACACATCAAGGTTTATTGAAACCAATTTTTTTTTAATATCTTCACACATTATATTTAAATTCAACAAAACACTTATGCAACACATGTAAATCGTTACAGTACAGCTGGGTTCTGGTCTGTTGAGAAAAACACACACACACATTTATCGGATGTGATTGGCTGCCAGGCAGCCTGTCCCTCTGCTCATTATATCAGCAGGCTGCAGATATATTTGTGGCCTATTTACTCTGACTTATAACGATTTAAGACACACCAGGGAGGTATGGTCAGGGACTTGAAGTTTTCCTCAAGGTAAGACTTAGAGACGCCACAGATGTATTTTTTTTATAGATTTGGGTATTGAATTCTGACTCAGAATGCTGGCGCTGTGGGGTAAGAAAGAAAAGCGAGGAGAAAAATGCCCACACGAAAAAAAAAAAAGCTTTAAATAAAGACAAACAGATAAATGTTCACTAAAACGGTCCTAATAAAAGGCAAAAAGGCAGAGTAAGGGCACAGAGCACTAAAAAATACAAAATACATGTCGACATAACATTGGCTGTATCTTAAATTCCAAATTAGCTCCTTCTGATTCCACCAAGATCGCTAATGTTTTCTGGACGCTGAGGGAGCAAGGCCCTAATGAAAGAGCTTATATAAATGCAAATTGTACTCCGTCCGATGTCCCACTCGGAGTGTAATGAAAAATGCTAAGGGAGGGAGGGGAGACGGATGGTGTGCTGGAAAAAAAAATTGGTCAGATCACTCGATAAATAGTTTGAAAAGATACTCATCTTACATCGGCGAATCAACAGCTGAGGCCAAAACACTGGACGTTAACACTCAAAATATCATGCAAGGCTATGTTGGTTTAAATGTTTGGTTCCCTGAAGCCCACTGAAAAAGACAGCTTTTTCTGGCCACTACGAAGGAGAAAGACTTGCAAAGACGCTGCATTGGTTACACTGTCTATTGAAAAGTCCACTCATGTCTTGCCTTTCCCTTCTCTTCGGTTCTGTCTTGAGTCGTTCACTTGACCTAACGTCTTCTCTGACTGGGACAGAGATGGCCATTACACCTCGACACAGAAAGAACCCCAACGCCCCCCCCCACACACACACACCCCTCCTCTCTCTGTCCATATCTGTACCAGGCGTAGGGAAGGAGACAGCCCAGGGTATTACTGTTGGTTTCAGAAGCCTGAATACTGGCTACACCCAAAGGTGTCTAAGTGCAGGTGTTTATCTGCAGAAAACTGGGGTTGGGTGTGGTGGCGCAGTCATCAGACAGCCTCTTGTGCGACGTTGCTTTCGCTTCTTGGCGCACTGCAACAGAGGCAGGGATTTGTACAGCTATTTTGTTCAGTGAGTTCAGAGGAGGATACTTGGCTTTAAAGCAGCCCAGTGGCCTTGAACACAACTCGAAAGTCAATGGTGTGAACATAATGGCTATGGCACTTTCATGATACCCTCTGAGCACAATCTCAATACCTCTCCATTAGTCTTCTGTCTGTTTATACTCCTTTCTCCCTCTCCCCCTCACCACAGGTGCATCTAACAGTTCCTTTGTCTTCTGCTGGCTCCACTCCAATGTTCTCCCCACCGCTTTAATATTTCTTATCTGTCACACTGGTCCAAGAGAGCGTCTATCATATGGTGTGTTCGACTGATCTCAGGATGTCCTGCATCCATTAAAGATATGGCTATGGAATGAGTTGCGTGTGCAAAATGAGACTCCCCCGCAGCTCTTCTACATCGGTCGCTTCATTGTTTATGCAGCTGAAAAAAAATCTATTCGGAACACAGCAGTTGATTACGGCTGCTGGGAAATGTGTGGCACACACGTGTTGTTTTTACCTTTGAAGCGTCTGTGGCTGTGATGATCCACGTGCAGTTAGCATTGTTGTCGTATTGGACCGGGTAGTTTGGGGATGTGAGGACACCGCTGGGTCCCCTCAGTTGACCCCCACACATGGGTGCTGCAGGAAAGGACACACAGAGGTAGACGTGTTTGTTGAATAAGTGTTTGTGATTAATAAAAATGCAGGCTTTAGAAATCCACGCCCTAATTTAATTAATTTGTGGAGAATAATCCAATTAAAATTTTGATGGCGTGGGTAGAACAACACCCACTGCATATCCCCTAGTACTACCCTCGATCCACTTATCGTTGCACTCATGCATGATAATAAGTTACTATTCAAATGACAATCATACATTGATATGTTACATTCATATTTACTCATACTAACTGAACATATTAACATTTAAAAAAATGTGTTTCCTCTTAAGGAAAGTTATAAGTCATTACTATGACATTTCATGACAACTTTTATCAAGCTTCAAGTCAAAGTCAAACTTTTTGTCAGTTTTTTTTTTTTGTTTTATAGCGCCATCAAGACCAGTTCTAATAAAACCCATAACTGCACATGTCTAAATGTACTAAAAATAAACACAGTTACAAAAAGTGTCAGATCGAGTACTGTATGTAATTTATTATGACAATTAAAAAGACCGTAATCTCAGAAGTGTCTATCACCCGCTGTTTATAAAAATGGGTTTAAGTACAAAAGGCACAGCTCCTAATATAGCCCTGTCCATCTTCAGTGTGCCGTAAGACTTAGAAGACGTTTTTATATTGAAGTAAATGAGTATGTAAAGTTGAGTATTACTTCACAAGAGTTATAGTGTCTCATGCAAACGGGAAGGTATGTGCTAATTTGCTAACTTAGCCAATGCTAGATTTAATGAATGTTCTGTGCATGCGAGAGGACGTCTGGGTGTTACAGAGTCACTCAGTTGATCTATGCACCAACCTCTCATACACTAATCATCCCTAGTAGAGTGTAAGGAAAAGGTGCCTTAAGTTAAAGTGCTAATAAAGTCATTAATCTGAGTTGGAGAGACTCTGCCACTGAGGTCCATCTCATGGTAAATAGTAATGTTTCAGATAAAGCCAAGTAAAAATCATTTTTTAACTTTAATCTTCAGGATAATATTTATCCTAAGAGAGATGCCCAATAAGCAGGTCGCAGCTCTTCGGATATACATCGCAAAGCAAGACATGACTGATACATCATTTCTATTTTTATATGTAATTCTTATGTTTAAATTATTAACCATATTAGTATATAATAATATTTGGCCATACAGGTACATGGATTCCATTAAAGTACTTGCTTGTAACTCCATTATTTTAGCCCAAAATTAGCTGAGATTACTTCTCAAGAAAAAATATATTTTTGTGCAGTGTAGCAAGGCTTACAATTTTTTGTTCCTGCATAACGAGAAGCACAGCGAAATGAGGAGCATCAGAAAAGAAAAGAAAAGAGAAAAGACCACTTCTCCCGTCTGTCAAAAAGCGACCAGAAGTTTAAAAGCATGACTGACAGGCAGCAACGCTTTAAATCCGAAAAAAGAAAGAAAATCTTTGCTGGCCAATATTCAATGTCAGGCGAGTCAGAGGGCATGACCGGGGCAGCTGCACTGAATACAGCCAGACTATAGACATATAAATTGGGGTCGCAGTGGGACGACTTCCATCGAACATGTGCTCGGACAATAAATAAATAAATAAATACACAAGTTAGCGCTTACCTCTGCAAATGGGTCGATCATCGCTCCAGCCGACGTAGCTGTCCGTCACTCTGAGACAAGTAATGCTCTTTGATCCCTGGAGTTCGTAACCCTCATCACAGGAGAAATGGACTGTGGCTCCTCGTCTACAGGGACAGAGGCAGGAAAAATACTTGTCACCAAACACTGTTTCTGTTAAATATCAGCGTTTAGCATGGAGAGATCAGAAGCTGTAATGGTTTTAAAAAAAAAAAAGTTAAAACTCCCCAGCTGTAAATTCAAGCCTTGCTGCATTGTGGGAGATGGATGGCTCCCATTTGTCTGTATTACAGCTGACCACTGAAAGAGACAATTGCTCTGACAGGAATGGAACTGTATAAAGCCACTGAGGGCATTCTAAATATAAAAACAGCGGGTACCAATATGCCATTTGTAAAGTGGTTACATCTGGCTCACCAACAAAAATTCAACCTCGTACTGACCGAAAGTATCTAAAATATGAGACTCATTAATCCAAGAAAATAAACGTTGCCTTTAATTCACATGCTAATTAAGTTATAATACATATGAACAAAAATCTTAAACTCCTTAACAAAACCAATCCTTAATCATTTGCTTTTACCTGAAGTCCGAGCCTTTTCTTTTTCCTCTGTCTGGGATTCCTGGGTCTGGACACATGTTGTGTCCTTGAGCCACGCCCATCTGGGACACTGTTAAAGACAGATGAAAAAAAAAAAAAAAAGACATTGGCAAAGCTGCATCCAGGAAAGAAAAAGAAAAATCTGACCACAACCGGTGCCATCCAGAGCACTCTCAACTCCACATTTAACAGTTTAACAGCAGGAGAAAAAAGGTTGCTCTGCCAAGAGCATGATTAACAAATGGGGTAGCACTCAGTGGCCTATAATTAAGCCTGGACGTGTTTTGACCATTACATGCCATTAACTATTCTCGGTGCCATCTCCAATTTCCTTAAAATGCCTATAAACTGGTGCCTTGGATTGGAGGTAAGTGAACGTCACTCTGCAGGGGACACAGCACATTCCAGGTCTGTGACAAGCCGGCGCGTACTGCAGGCTCCACTCGGCTTTTTGTGCAAATTTGTATTTTTCCTCCTTAAAATAATTGAGAATTACATTTGTGCGGGGAAATCAAACCAGACAAATGGCTATTCATATTTTCAATTGTTTACAGCAACAAGACACCTGCTCACGAGTACTTCTTATGCTAATGGGTAATCAAAGAGGCAGAAGCACATTTGTTATTACAGCAGCACGGCCACTGGACGCGGAAATGACAAATGTATTGTGCTGAAAAGAAGGCGAAAACCGTTTATCTTGCTTTACACTCGGCGTAAGGTATAATCAACTTGTCGGCTGTCTACTTCTGCGCCAAGTGGCCAGTGGTCACTTAATGGTGATTTATTATGACGAAACTGAAGACAGATTAACAGTGTAACAGTGTTGACCCTAAAATATTAGTTAAACATTTCTTAAATCAGACAAAGGCTCTGCTTTTTAAACAAAGACACAAACACAGATATCTCCATTTCTAGAATGTTATGGATAGGTGGTTATAATATAGATATATAACCCAACAACATTGGGTCAACATTAATTTCCTTGACATAATTTAGCTCCATTATGTGGTAATAAAATAAGAAAAACCTTAGATCAGGGAGATGGCATTGTTTGAAGTGTAATTTAACTTAATGGCATTTTTTTATTTCACAAACGTGTGAATGATTGAAGGCTGTTCTACTGATTAATGAATGAACACTCATTAGTGAAGAAACCTAAGCAACATGTACGTTTGATTCCATAATTGCTTTCTGTAGTTATTCAAGTGTCTGATCCAAACAGCAGTAAAGATGGTGACACTGATGACAAGCGATTGGTCTTCGTCAATGTCATCGTCTATGAAAGAGCAGGGCTTTTTGAAATCTTTGAAAGACATTAAATGAAACATACTATTCATGCTGTATTCACTACCTTCAGTATTTTTAAACTGTAGACAAGTTAAGCCGCTCATGAAAAGTCCATTAACTTCACAGTGACCCCTTTCCCATAAGAGGTCAGTGTCATTAAAATTACCTTTAACGTGTAAAGTTGCAGCAGGTATGGAGAAATAAAAATATATGAAAATAAAAAAATTCTATAAAAATAATGAAAGAAAAAAAGTTTGTTCTTCTCTTGGAGGCAAAAGGATTAAAAGGGAAAAAATAAATAAAAGCTGGATGAAATGAAACGGAAATGGCCTTGAGGCTGGATTAACATGAACACAACTTGTTTTGTTCTGAATTCTTCTCACGTTCGCGGTTGCTACGCAAGTCACGTGACAACCTGATGGCTGTTAATGTGCCAGATTTTTCTCAGAAAAGGACGATAGTGGACAGTGATGTCAGACTGACACCAGGGGGACAGACTCCAGGGGCATGAAAGACCCCTGGTGTCCTGGCATGTTTCCATCTGGGGAGTAAAATGGAGTTACTTTCAAATATTCCTTCAGTTTTGTGAAAAGACAAGATTGTATAGAGCAGGATAAAACCTTGAAATCAATTTTTAAAATGGTTTAAAAAAAAAGTGAAATAAAACTTACAAGATATCAGTCTCAGAACAGAGAGAGAAAGAGACATGTGTTAATTATTAAACTCTGACAACGATTGAAATCGCTTCATCTGTCTTTTTGACGTTAGAACAGCATCTAGAGTACGGTGTATACTGTGTTAGTGCCTCCCTAACATTTTTTCACTGAATAAAAAAATAGTTATTTTTTAAATAAAATAAATAAAAAAATAATGGTACAAAATATATTGTTGTATGTATATAAGACTGAGTGGAGTGGAAAGTTAAAGTATCTGTTGCTCTATCTTGATTTGAATGCTATTGAGGTCAGATGTGTTAAACTGATGACATTTCATTATTGGGTAAAATCATATGCAAATTATAATTATAATTATATGGGGTGTGTCCCACTTACACACTGATATCTTGTGGTTGTTGTCTTTGCTGGGCAACATCTTCACACCTCTGGACTTGAGCTCAGTCATCTTCTTCACTGTGGAGGTACAAACAGAGGAAGACATTGATGTTCCTGCAGCAGGCAAATATATAAAGTATATATGGAGCATATATGGAGTATACATGGAGCATATATGGAGTATATATGGAGCATATATGGAGAACTCCCAGGTCCACTGTAGTTAGAATGATGAGATTTAGAATTTTTATGAGAATAAAATGTTTTGTTTTTTTCTCCTGACACAATATATGCCTTAGTCCATTCATTTTATACTAGAAATATACTATACTGGAAATATATTAATGCATTATGGCAAAAGAAACTCAATTATTAGAATGTTTAAAAATAACATGAGTTGTTTTTTGATAGATTTTCAACCAGCGCTAGGGGAAAAAAAACATTCAGCAATGTTTTGAAATGATTATGTGGGGTTAACAAAAAAGTAATCATTGCAAACTAAGCTGTTGATTAAAATGCATATTTATTCATCAGTTCAGGAAAGACCATCATCGTTTCTCAGTGCCCATCACAGCACATTCAATTCATTTCTTTTTTCTTATTTTTAATGGAATTTTATATTGGAAAAACCATTGTCACTCAGTTTAATGAAGAGATAGAAACCAGTTTTAGCAGTATTATGATTCTAGTATAATTTGTACACATTGAATTGTACAAAAAACTCTGTAAATTGATTGGTGATTTATTACTAATGCTGTGCAAAAGGAAAATTCCAAAGAATTATCAAAGCTTACGGAGAAAGCTGAGTAATTAAGCACGGGGTAGAGTTACATAAAAGACGATAAAGATGAAGTGTCAGGCTGCCACTGATGGATTACTGCATTAAAAAAAATGTTTTTTTTTTATATTTCTAATTAGGATTTCAGTCTTCAGTTTTGTTCTGATCTCCTCAACATAACTATCCAATGTTTAACCTATAATCTGATTGGCTTACTCCGTCTTCTATTCCATATTTTTAGCAGCTGGTTGGAGGTGAGATGTCAAATGGACTAATCCATTTCCACTGCTCATCTCTTCAAAAAGTCGACCTCTGAACCCGCCGAGGGAAAGGATATGGATGTATGCCAAAAGGACATGTGTGTTGGAATGTGCACTTAGATACGATTGGAGACAAAAATGTATTTTTTACTGTTTCAGTTTTTTTATTTAATTGAAAGGAAATGTGTACTTAGCACCACCTTCAGGCCAAGAATGGGGAGTTAAATGATTGTTGATTAACTCTAAATACCCAGATAATTAAAGCTATCAGAAAATATTTTTATTTAGTTTATTATATTTTTTTTTTATAAAAAAATATAATAATATAATTATATTATATTAGTTATTTTTTTAAGTCCATTTCCAAGTTGAATTTTGGCCTGGTCATGGTGACTCAAGAAACAGTTATTAAGGAAAGTCAATTACAAATGTTTTTTTTTTTCTTTTTTCTCCCAGTCTGTTGGTCACTAACTGTTGAGTGATTATGGACTTTAATGAAAATGACATTTATTTTAACAACAGAAACAGCCCCTGTCTTACCTTGATACTGGGCACTGAAACCTCTCAGCTTGTGGTTGCCGTCGGAGGTAAAGTGCAGACGAAGCCAGTTCTTGCTGCTAATGATGGGCGAGGGAAGGTTGGGGCCAGTGAACCTGAACAGACAGAGAGAAGAGCCACTCTCAATTAGCATATCTTCAAGTGGGTGTTTCAACGTGATCGGCGGACTGCAGTGATGGCTGTCACATCAGCACTAATCCTGTTGTAGGGAAGGTACAGCTGAGTCCCGGACCACTTTGAATACGTTGGACTTTTAAGCTTTTAAGCAAGCTTTGATTACAACATTTTTTACTTTGGAGGACTTAAAGTACAAAGCTGTGCTCTATGGCGTCTGTCTCTTTTTTTTCTTTTTTCTTTTTGCAGTTGCAAACTGTTTATCAAACATTCCACAAAGTCAAACCCTGTGACAAACAGTCTATGGTAACAGCTGGCAGGACCTGCCAGTCTCTTCAGTAATTGTTCTGTTTATGCAGAGCACACTAATGGTTCACAATTACTGTGGCCATCACTCAGAGGTGTGAAAATGTTACTAAGCTTTATTATAGGTAATTATTTTAAACACTTTGTATTAAGGAAAAAAAAGCCATGGGGATTTGATAATAGACTTTTGTGGTGAAATGTCAATACATGTTAGTGTGATAACCCATAAAGAAGATTGCAACAAAAAGTCTGAAACACTCAAAATGAAGAAGGAACTGACAATAGAGATTGGCCATGGTTGCAGTAGATACAATAAGTAAAAAAATACTGCAAAACCATACTAACATTTCTGATGAAATCTGGCCGTTGTCTCTGTTCCTGTGACTATCTCTCACGTAGAGTCCATTCACACCTCACTTCTGAGTCAGTGATGCGGGCGACCCTAACCCTTCATTAAGAGATTTTCATTGAAGCAAGCATCTCTCATCTCCAAAGGCTCAGGTCAGGGCTGAGAGCAGGGGTGAGGTTGACTCTATTATCTAACCAGAGAAATGAGCTCCATTTAATGCAAGATGTCTCAATAAAGAGGAAGTGAGAGCGAAGACGTGTGTGTGAGCACGAACCCCAGTCACAGTGTGGCACGCATTCATGAATGCACAGTTTCCACAGTGGCCATTTAGACAACATAACAAACAACGTGCAATGCAGAATTTCAGCTTGGACTGAGGTTTTAACTATCAAATTTTCAAAATGTATTTAAAGTTTTGTCAAAGATGCACAAGTCCAAAGACAAAAAGACAATTTGAGCTTTATTTAACCAGCCAGTGCTAAAACATTAATTTTCTGGTCAGGTCCCAAGGTGCATGTCTTTTATCCAGTGAACAATCACCATTTCCAAATATAATTGTGTTACTTGTTCTTAAGGGACATGTTTTGAACACGATAGAAAATTAGATTTGTCTTACAATAATGTTATACCAACACACCCTTAACGGACAATCCACACTGCTCCCAGCAGGGAAAGTCAGGAGCTAAAGTAAGTCAATAATATCCTCTATTTAAAGTTAGAAATGTTTCTGTTATTGTTACCTCTTAGATGGAGAGCCATTGATCTTCATCAATTATCATTCCTTAAAATTAACCAGATATTTGCATGTTTGTTTCCCTAAGATCTATGCTTCTTTATTATCAAAACCTTTAGTTATATAAGAGAAAACAGTCAGCGGTCCTTCATCCTTCATCCTTCATCTGCTGGCAATGATGTGATGACAAACTATGACTGGTCCACTTTACTGGACAACTCCATTACTCATCTTCATTTCATAGTCGAATAACTGTTTTATCTCCACTGCCTATCCACTTTTAATAAGTGCTTTGTATAATAATTAAACTGGATGGTTAATTAGCAATTATAATCTTATTTGTTTTTTTACAAGTGTGGCCTATGGGCTGCATGATATAACTAATGTCAAAATAAGTTGTAAAGCTATGTTTAATGACAATAGTCTTGATTTACAACAGCAAGTGATGTTTCTTCACCTGACTGTAGAGGGAGCTCACAGTGGTTTGGTACTAGCAGGACCTTTTTATCTTTCAGTTTTTTACCCTGGAAACATTGGGTTAACGTTGGCATTTTGGGTTTGATTTAAGTCTCATTATTATATGTTAGACTCAGATAAACTAAGAGCGTGACAGCAGACCAGACACTGATGGACTCGCCCCAAGGATAAGGAGATTAATAAGAAGAGGCTGGTTGATAAAAAAGGCCACCATAAAAAACACTGTGACCCAATGTCACCTCTAACTTTCTCCATTTCATCATCCAGCTCTCTTTTTCTGCTGAAGTCAATGTGTTGAAGAGAAAGTGACCATGGGGAGCAAAAGAAAAACTCCGGAGCAGGCTGATAGAGGTCTCCTGAAGGGTGATGTGAATGCTTTTATGCCAGACCACCCCCCATTTTTCTTTCTTTCACTCTCTCCCCTTCTCTTGTTCCTTTTTTCCCCTTCTCTTTCTGACCATGTTAGATATTATGTGGAATTGTCTCGAGAGTGTAAGTACACAATCATTTGTCCTTTTTTTCCAAGCCCCTGGTGCTCTGAAGACCACTCCAACTTTTGATAACCAGCCAATCAATGTTTTTCGGCAAAGGCAGGGAGATCGGAGCAGGGGTGGGCGTCTAAGCCATAATAATCAAATTATTTAATCAACATATATCACAACTTATAATATCAGAAAATAATACATTGTAAATTAAAAAAAAATATATAAAAATATATTGTATCTATTTTTTGTTTAATTAAATTAATTCTCAATTTAAACATATTCTACATTGTTTTAGAAAATTAAGATTTTTTCTTACTAATGAAACTCAGGGAACTGAACTGAACTGAACTGAACTGAACTGAACAAATACCCTGTTATGGTGTGAAGGTCAAAGGTTGAAATATGTTTCATACATCCCCCTATAACACATGTAATAAAAATGCTACCGTTCAAGAAATAGCCATAAAGACGGGCATAAATACATCATAGGTACCAAAACAAGATGATTTATATCCAATAAAAGTACATTTCTATTCACAGAGAGTGGTATATGTTCTAAGATCTAAGTTCTTACTTTTCAAACCAGTCAAGTATCATCTTTTTAGAAGGATGTCAAAATTAACAACAAAATTATATTAGTCTTAGTGGAGAGTCAACGTTCAACTGGTCTTCCTGCAGTCCTGATCTGTCTGCTATTGAAATATCTGGTCATTCATGATGGGAAAAATAATAAAAAGACTACAAACAAAGGCCACATGATATCGAGCAGCCAAAGTCGATTACCGAGCAGGACATTTCATTATGTTACCATTACCAGTAATAAATGGGGAAATAGACACATAAAAAAGGTGACTGAGTATTACATTTGCCTCTATTAAAACATTAATGGATTACATTGAAAATATATTATTATAGAAACTAGGAAAAGTCCCACAAAAACATTTTTGTTAATTAGATTAGTAGAGAAATCTAGATCTTTTTAATTCTTAGCAATTAGTTATAAAACTCTGAAAATGCATTCATCACCATACTCTACTGTCTCTGTACTGATCAACCTCATCAAACTGTTAATGCCTCTCATCCACGTCACCTCTGTTCTGGTCGGGGGCAGACTGTCACTTGACTCTCTGTGCATAATTAAAGTGAAGGGTGGAGTTCGATAAATCAACGGTGGATCGATATGAAACGGTCTAAGATATAACAATGTGAAATATAACACTTCATGTGTTTATGCTTTGCTGTTCTGCATGAGAGAGCCAATGAGGGGAGAGAACTAATTTGGAGTGAAGGAACTGTCTGTGAGCTGGAGCTACTACAGGAGATCAATCAGAGCTCTGCTCAGTATTCAGCTCCTGATGTTGGTCACTGTGACTTTAAAGCCAAAAGTTTTGGCATTTTAATGAGGCTGTTTGAATTATACCAGGAACCGGCCTTTACACACGCACACACACTTGCAGATGTAGTCACCTTAAACACACGTAGTCAATGCAGATATCAACCCCCCCTCCCTCTTCCCCCTACTCCCACAAAGACATACACACATGGCCCACAAACAAATCAGCGTCAGAGACATTTATGTCCACAACACCGGTTTTAATGTGCTGCCCGCTGAGCTGTAACTGTGACCTTTGGATGTGCCAGGGGCCAAACACACACTCGAGGTTTTGAATGAACCACCGGTGCTGTTTCCTAAAACTGCAATTCATCTCTTCACTAGACCACCACCTTGGAACTTTAAAACAGTTCAAGTTAAGGCTTGATGTATGAACAGGGGGGAGTTTTTAGGGCAGGGTTTGTGTGGCTCTGACACCAGGCTCTGAGTTCAAAACAAGATGCTGCACATGAAGACATGAAACCAGCGTTGGCCCTGCCAGTAAAGCCAAATGAACAGGCTCAACGGTTTTTTAAAACTTGCTTCAACAGAGCTAAAATGTCTGCTGCTCTTCCTCTTCTTCTTCTTCTCTAAGCCCCTCATGTTTTATTCACACATTCACCTCTGGTCCCATTGAAGGCCTTGTTAAATCTTCTGAAGATCTAACTTTCTTCGGCTTCCCACAACTCGTTTCCTGCACTTCCAGTATATAATTAAGAAAGAAATTCAGGGAAAGAACAAGTGTGAAACACAACACAAAATCGTCTTCATCCATTCACCAACAGTGTTACAACCTATCAATTTTTCAAGAAATGTCTGAGGAGAATCAACATAAATATGGTTGAAGATTCAGCCATGTATTTGATGACTAAAATGATAACCCTGTCGCTGCTTAAGCCACAACCTCCCACTCTTCAACACTGGGGAGAGAGACTAAAACAAAAATCATGTAATGGGAATAACTGCAAATCCCCTTGTGAAAATTGACTTGTTTTTGGTGTTGTGGACCCCTGTCATCTCCCACTTTGGAAGGCCAGACATGAACTGAACAGTTTGGCATGATACGTAATGTCTGTTTTTGTTGTTTTCTGTGGGTTGCCTGTCCACTGTGTTTCCTCCCACATATCCAGGTCTTTGTTTGGTGAGCTGTCCAATTGTGGGTGAATCACCCTATTTAAATGGGAGGAGCAAAGCACACAAAACTAAGACATCAGGAGAATGAACACAGGGATTAGAGAAAAGGATGGTTTAGGAACCAA